AGATGTAAAGCTCAAAGCCTTTAATGAAAAGTTTGGTTTTATTTGCATTTTTGTTGTTATTATTATTTCTAAGTAATTTGTGCCATAACTAAATCAAAATCGACTGACTACATCAGATGTAAGACTGAACTTTGCATAGAAAAATAGTAGAGGCTCTCTAAAGCCCCTCTCATTCCTTAAAGGTACAAAATGTGTTAGCCCACTCTTACACTAGGTTCTTCTCTAAACGTAGCTAAGGCCAAATGAGTGCCTGCTTTTACTACTGGAGTACCAACGTACAGTACACTATCCTGTCTATGCCCAAGAGAGGGAAATCAGGGGTCCAAAAAAAGAAAAGAAATAAAGTTAACTGACTTTGTTAAGAATAAAACAATTTGAAGGGTGCAGGAGAGAGACATGGATCAAGAGAGGAAGAGTGGGGGACTCACACTCCTCAAAGTGTTTTTAAAGAAATGTCAACATTTGTTTTGGTTATATTTTTTGAAATTTTACAATACAGTGTCAGAAAAAATGATTCATTAAATCCTACTTCCAGTGTCTTAGCATTTTTAAGACTTTTGAAGGATATGTGAAAAACCCAGTCTAAAGCTCACTAATTAACACGTATCTCTTTCAATTAATCCATTCAAGAACAAGTGTAAAAATGACAAGCTGCTGCTTTACATGGGGTTATGTGCCAGACTATTTCTTGGCAGGGAGCTTCCTGAAGTCTCATTGTCACTGTGACAAAGTCTGGTTCTCCCCTTTTGCCAGTGATTATGCTAAGCTAAGCTAAGCTTAGCTAACTGGCTGCTAACTGTAGCCTCATATTTCTGTCTGAAACCACACCCTATACATATACACTGCACTTTATTCAGTGCCTGGCATTTGAATGTCTGAATTCTGAGTGTGAAATTTCCACGGTGTTAGCATTGCGCTAACAATGACAAGGCAACTTCCCACATTCTGTAGGAGAAAACATTGACAGTTGTGCAACTTTGCACCTGTGTAAGTGTCAAATCTCAATAAACTGCTCACTACAGAGTTAAAAAGTGAGTGTCTGTTGTAAAGGGAGTAGTCAATGAGAGAACGAGGGAGTGATTTGATTTTGACACAGCCATGGGGGTCTGGGCCCGATGCCCTTTCTCTCTTGATCCATGTCTCGCTCACCTTTTGAATTTTAAGAGTCAATTTGCTGTGTTTACCTTACCTTTCTTTCTTTCTTTTCTTTTTTTGAACCCTGATTTCTCTTGATTGGGGAATTCCCTTGCTATGACGCCCCTGCACACAGCTGACGTGTAAATTGGTGAGAGGACTAAACAGCCTATCTGACAGGAGTAAAGCTGTCTAAACAAATCTACACATCAACACAGTGTTCACTTGCAAATTCTATCTAATTTTATCTGGAATATCCTGGCTACTACTACAGTGCTTTTCTGTGCAACTATAAAAAAGATTAGAGCAGGCACATACTAGGAAACACACACACAAACACACACTGGCACAGCATGAGGCCTTGGTTCATTCTTAGAGCTCTCCTGTGGGCCGTGGATTACCGTCTACAGTCTTTATTTAGCTCTGCCAATCCTCATTAGACGCACACACACTCGTATGTCAATGTGTGTTTCAGGTAATGATACCACAACAGAAAGCGTGGATTATATCCTACGATACGATGCGGCCCGTTAAACAGCCGTAAACAGATATAATAACACATCTACAGTTGTTATTGGGTGAATTGTGAGCTGAGAGTCTCGCTGAGGATGGCATTGCGTTCATCGTGCTAGTATGAATATTAACTTGTAGCTGTGCTAGCGACATGATAATGTTATATAATCACATTTCAGCCATTGTGGACCTTGTGTGTGTGTGTGTGTGTGTGTGTGTGTGTGTGTGTATGTGTCATCTGAAAAGGCTGCAGGGGAGTGTCATCTCCAGCCATTTCATAGAGAAGTGAGGCTAAATGAACAGAATAAACAAAAACAGGATGGAATAAAAATGTGGGGTTCTTCTACCTACTCTATTTTGTGCTACAAATATATTTAAATAAACCTGAATCATTGTACGGACTCACATCAGCAGCACTGGTGGTGATAAGCTGATAACAGAGTGTGTTATATGGTGAGCATGGCGTGAAACAGGTGGTGTCAAGACAGGTGTGTGTGCTGCATGGGGGGGATGGGCAGCCACCACAGAAAGACCAGGACCAGTGATTAGTAATAATCTGTTTACAACCCCCCCAACCCCCCTAACCTCTGTCCAGCCTGACCTTGAAGGGTCCGCTGCTCTGACACTCATGTCTTTATTTCTCACACATTAACGTCCACATTAGTGCTTCTCTCGGCTCCCTGCTGTTCCCTCGAGGGTCTTTCTCTTCATTCCCACCCCTCTCGTGCTCACCCGCTTGCTGTATTATTTTTGGTCTGCAGTTTGGTATCCACCTGCTCAAGGCAAAGCCAAGGCCTGTTCAATATAACGGCCTTCCTCTCCTTGTATTACCAGCAGTGCCTGCCAATATTTGCTGCAGTCCTCTTTGGCACTGTGTATGGATACACTCAGTCCTGCCCTTGTTGCTAAGCTGTCAATGTCAGAAGGGATGGACAAAGAAATGCATTTGCAGTATATGAGTTATATTTCAAGAACTTAAAGGTGTAGCTGGTAACTTTTATAGAATAACTTTCTGTTATATTTGCTTAACTGTTACGGTATTCACACACCACTAAATGTGTTGGATAAAAAATGATATTTCTTTGCCTACTGTATGGCCATGTAGCATTTCCTAAAACCTCACGTGAAAGAAAACAACCAATCAGAGCCGAGGAGTCACAAACGCAGCTGTCAATCATGTCAATCGCTGCTTGTGAACCTCAAATGTCGTCAGAAACATATTTTAGTGTACTGTTTAGCTGTACAATAAAAATGTTTGTGATCCAGCTGCCATGTTGGAAACAGTCAAGCCAAAACAAAACGCCGCCCACCAGCTGGAGCAAACTTTCCAGTAGCATGTTCGCCAGTCGTCAGCGGTCAAGCTGGACATAACGCTGTCAGCAGAATTCAACACTTCTTCTTAGTTAGGGCAAAACAGTAAGCGGTCACATGACACTTTTAGCTATAAAATGGGGAAGTTAAAGAGCAAAGCAGCTGTTCTACATTGATGAAGTAGTCCTTGTCGGTGACGCATCAGGACACATCAGTGTTTCACCACAGAACATATGTGATTGGATCAAAATGGTGATCATTTACACTTGTATTTAGTGCTGTCCACTTTTGATCGGATCAACCAAGATGCATTTCAGTACCAGGTGTGAACACAGCCTAACTGTTTTCCAACTGTCCACATTATTCTGCACACCATAACACAACAAATATTGTGGACAACTTTACACCTGCCACCTAAAAAGAGGCAAAAATTGGGTAATGTTACCATTTTTAAGACACATCACAGCAGGTAGGGTAGTCTTGGGTAATCTTTAAACCTATTTTTGTTTTACTACACTGAAGCAGAGTTCACAGTGTGAATGTTAACCTGACAAATCTGCTACATCTGAGTCCATGCCATAACAGTTTGGGCTGCTCTAATTGCAAATCAATGCCAAGTAATTATGTTTCTCAGTCAGGGTTTGAAATAAACACCCACCAAGCGCCAGATGTGGGTAGATTTTCCACTATGCGAGTAACTCTTGGAAGACTATCAGGCACACTGGTGGGTAAATGTTTGCACCATATAATCATGTAATTGATTACTATGCTGAGTCTCTACTGCAGTTTGGCATCATTTACGGGGGCACTGCTCTGCTGCTCCTCTTGTGTGTTACACGCGTCTAAACGGTGCTGCAAAACTGACCGACTTGAGTGCTTCTAGTTTTGAAGGACCGTTTATAGTGCAGAAAACCAGCAGATGTGCTAAACTTGCCGCCGCTGCTGGTTAGCATGATGCTAATGTATAGCCGATGATTATGAGTTTTGAAGATAATAGAATAATAACACAGAGGCTCTGTAGTCTGAACCAAGACTGCAAGCCTACTCTATTGTAACTATTGCCTCCCACATTGTCACAGGTAACGCATTGAAGCTTCACTGCTTCTGTTCTTATCTGTCACAGTGAAAGCCCTATATATATATATATATATATATATATACACTGCATCACAGCTTACACTTTTTCACATGCTGAGACTGTGATAATGAGTTGTTAAATATATTAAAACATTTTTTATATGGCCTTTTCTTTAAATTTGAATTCAATATAATACCTGATCTCAATAAAAAGTACTGAAACAATTGCATATGTGACAAAAAAGGCAGTTTATTATGGCCAGTAAAGATGTGCTTGACTTGTGGGTTTTTCCATCTACCTGTCCTCTCGGCAGGTGAGTCAAAACATTATTTCGGACACTGTTGTCAATACTTAAAACTGAATATCTGGCCAACAGAAGAACATTTACTCAATTATATTAGATTTCTTTAGGTAATAGCATAGTAGGATATATAACATGGGTATATATTATTGACTGAATAAGTTAAAAGATCAGGGCTTTTGAGAAAACATTGGAGGCTGGGCCTCCTGAAGCCCCCCTCTGCTCTGCCTCTGGTCTGGACACTTGCTGTGGGACACCTCTCTATCTGTCTGAGTGTCTGAAGTGGCATCCAGGGAGGAGAGCTGACACAGCATTATTTTGTCTTTCTGCATTGTCAGCGTGCGCGTGTGTGTGTGTGTGTGTGTGTGTGTGTGTGTGTGTGTGGGCCTCGTGCACCGACATCATTTCATATGTACATCAGGTCTTCCTCCTGGCTTAATATTCTCACGGGTGTCTAGAGCAGCTCTGCAGTGAACACTTAGCCTGTCAGCTTAATCAAACTTTAATCAGAGCTGTTCAAATTATGTGGGCATTTGTCTTAGACTAAACTAGCCGTGCTTCTCCTTTTAATCATGAAATCCCCCCTTCTAGAAACCTACGTCATGCCATCAGACCTGTAATTTTCACATGATTATAATGATGTTTTTTGTGGCTGTGTTGCAGATCTGGTGTCAGCCACCAACACCACCAATGTGAACATCCCTCAAATGGCTGACACGCTGTTTGAGCGAGCCACAAATGCCAGCTGGGTGGTTGTCTTCAAGGCCCTCGTCACCACTCATCACATGTGTGTCCACGGCAACGAGGTTAGTGGCTGAATCTAATTTTATTTGGCGATAAAAGTTATTATTCAGTGTGAGATAAATATGAAGACTTGATTTAATTGGTTGCTGCTTTGGATTTTTTTTGGAATAAATGATGGAAATTTTAAAATGGATCTGCTAAATTATCACCCAGTCCAAATGTATAGTAAATGTCTTGATAATTAACTTGTGTGGTCACCACTCTGGAGAGCTCACATTTGACCACATTACCCCAAAGAAATGAAAAGAGTCCTGAATTGTTGGCAGCTCTTCCAAGCACCAAGTGTAAAAGAGAGTCATAACGACCTAACATTAGCTAAGCTTTAAAGTCAGGCTAACGTTGGTGCTACACTGAGTGACAAAAAAGAAAGGTAAATAATATCAATAAAACTGAAAACAGTTTGCTTTGTATGTGTAAGGCAGCTACCTGTTTAAACCAGTAGGAGGTGCTGTTGCGCTGTCTATTTTGCATCAAATGCAGTAGTTCACACTGTTTGTCCCTGTCAGGACGCCATAGCTTTGAGATTTGCTCTGTTTATGCCGCCATTTTCTTCAAAGTTAATTGTCTCTTGCCCTGTCAGGTGAGCCCATTGTAACAGCCTTCTGCATTATATCACACTATCAGCGTTTAAACCACACATTTTGTTCATTTGTTCGCTGTTGCTGTTTATTAACACTCCAGGCTACTATCCGCCATGAGTTTGACTATAAATTAACCGTGTTTTTTTGCTGTTTGACATTGTTATTGAGGTGAGGCTATGAGTGTGGCTAGCATGCTGTTGACGGGTAACGTTAGACACTAAGCCTGGCGGGACAGCGTTAGCTTTCTGTTAGCTGTTAAGCTAATTTGAGAATGTATGATTTATGTTGGTGATTTATTCCTTTCAGAGAGTCATTGACAGTTATGTGTATTTCGATTTGATAATTTATTTTTTAATTTTAATGATTGTTTAAGTAAGAGATTTATTTCCTTAAAAAAAGTTAATTGTCAAAAATGTCATAGTCAAGGTTAACTACAATCCCAAATCCTGCTTGTGGTGTCTCCTCTCAGTGAGACACCAAAGCCTTAAAAAGGTACTAGGAGAGATGCAGATGCAGTGGGTTATATATTAATTATTATTAGCTTAGATATAGAAACATAAATGTCAGTGGGTAATAGTATTTAACGTTAGTTTTTGTATGTAGTGTTTTTGATAATAACCTCAGTGTCCTGAAATAGTGAGGTTAGCCACTCAGCTAGCCTAGCTGCCGACTAAAATGAAGAAAGGCACCATGCGAAGGACATTCAGCTCTACGGAGTTTTACAGCTCTCTGTTACAACAGTGTAGTTACATAAGGTAATTTAATTTTTGGCAGCTAATTCAAGCACTGACAGCCAAAAAGAGCCACAGCACCCTAACCCCAGCCAAGTTCTGAAAGTCAGGCTAACATTGGCGCTGCACTGAATGACTAGCTAACGGTTAGCTAAGACACTGAAGTGATTATGATTAAAACACAATTTACAAAGAGAACAGTAAATACAGTACTTTTAACAAACAAAGCTAGCTGTGAAAACTAATGGTGTTAGCTTTGAACATATTGTTAGTAATACCCACTACCTAACATTTGTTTTTGTGTGTTTTTGATCATTTCAATAATTGCCTCAGTGTCTTTCAGTAGCAAGGTTAGCCAGTCAGCTAGCCTAGCTGGCCACTAAGATGAAGAAGAGCACTGTCTGATAAAGAAGGCGGTTAGTGCTACAGAGCTTTAGGGCTGTTTCATAGTCGACGCACACAACGTGAGCAAGCGACGCGAGCAACGCACTTCCTTTCATAGTCAACACATTGAACGCAAGTGACACGGTGACACTTGAAATGCAATACAGTGCTCGCGCAATAGGGGGGAGCAGAGTCACGGTATATTCTGGCTAGCTAGTGCTGCTGTAGCTAGCTAGTACTGCTATTTTATTAGAGTGCAGGGCACTAGAACTGTCATATAAATGGGGGTGTGCCCGTACGAGTTCGCAAAGTTTTTCCTCCTCGCCCACCATATTTCATACCTGCTTCTTCTGTGAATAACAAAAAGTGGCTAATTTCTAGTACGTCGCTTGCATTATCACCCCCGCTGGCAACGTGTCGCCGCGTCATGTATCAAAAAAATGGACAACACATTTTGAGATGCAAGCACGCATCATGGCGGCCAATGCGTCCCAATGCGTTCACGTCTGCATGCCTTTGCGTCGACTATGAAACGGCCCTTACTGCTGTCTTTTAAAAACCGTGTGGCTATATAAGTCAGTTTAATTTTCTGTAGTTCTTCCAAGAACAGAGAGCTGAAAAGAGCCGTAGTAGCCTACATTAGCTAAACTCTGAAAGTCAGGCTAATGTTGGTGCTACATTGAGTGACTAGCTAACGGTTATCTAAGACACTGAGGTAGTAATCAAAACGATCAAAAACACTAAAAAAATGAGATATTACTAACAGTATCTACAAAGCTAACTGTGTGAACTAAGTGTTAGCTTTGTTCAATTTGTCAGTAGCATAGAAATATTTACGTCAATGGTTAATACTATTTACAGTTCGTTTTTGTATATAGAGTTTTTGTTCGTGTTGATAACCACCTTATCATCTCAGATAACCATTAGCTATTTTCTCAGTATAGCACCAAGGTTAGATAATTTTCAAAGTTTAGCTAATGTTAGGTTGCTATTGCTCTTTTTTACACTCAGTGCTTGGAGGTGCTGCCAAAACTTTAAGTGACTGATAAGCACCGTCTTGCAAAAGCAAGCAGTGAAACTCCTTAGATCTGACTGCACCCCTCATAAAGTTGACGGTACAAAATAAACCAGTAAATACTATTATACTCTTGCTATTAACTATGTCCAAAGCTAACTGTGAAAATTGAGGTAATGAAATTAAGGATAAAATAGTACTGTGCACTAAAATCGGAGGCAAAGATAGTTAAATGTTGCAGTAGAACTTACAGGAAGTAAACAGATGTGCAGTTCGTGAAACAGATGCACATCACACTACATTGTGCAAGCAGAGAACTGTTCTTGATAGTTTATTGCCTAATGACTGTTCACTGTGTTTTCCTTTCTCTTCCTCAGAGGTTCATTCAGTACTTGGCCTCCAGGACCTCTCTCTTCAACCTCAGCAATTTTATCGACAAAACCGGCTCTCATGGTAAGCACAGTATCACAGTATCTGACAAAAAACAAACAGGAAGAGATAAAAACAAAGGGAGCCATCTGGCAAATAGGAGGTAATGACACAAACTGCAGGAGGGACTGGACATAATCACACACATGATTGTACTCACATTGACACAAATCTACACATGCATTCAAACAGATGCTGGCATTTCTATCTCTTGTGTCTAATGTCTTATGTGAAATTATACTCTCTTTAAGTTATTTTAATATTAAATTGTAATACTCTTAGTCAACATTGTGGTCTTTTCATGCTTGTTCTTGTGTTGATCACCGCGTTTCTTAGACACATTTGTGTGTGCTTTTTGTGCAGTTAACTGTTAACCAGCACCTGCAAAGAATTTATTGATGTACAGGTAATAATGGTCATCACAAACACCAAATCTGCAGTTCAGGATACATGTACTGTATTACTTCTCAGTCCAGTTTTTAGGGATCTTTTTTTATGTTTTTTTTTTTTTGTCTGAAGTATATCAAGATTTCAAAGGAACAAATTAGCTAAATGTGTAATAATGACATTGTGATGACAGTGACTAAAGTGCAGGACTATGACATCAGAATCTCGGGTTTGTGTCTCATGTTTCTATAATGCTGTGGTTAACGTATGGTTATATTAGGCATTAAAAAGTTAGGAAAAGATCACACTTTGGCTTAAAATACCTGGTTTTGGCGGCACAATGCTGGAAATGCTGATGATGTCTTGCTAAAAACAGCTTGCTTTGTTGGTCTCAGATGCTGGTCTGCAGCTTGGCAGCCATCTTGCCTCGGTGTCACATCATCTGCCACCCCCTCCATCTCCTTATGATATAGTTGGCTCATATACATGTAATCTGAGCTATGATGTCTCCCTGCCTGCTTTCTCACATGCATCTCCTCAGGCTACGACATGTCTACATTCATCAGACGGTATGGGCGGTACCTTAACGAGAAAGCCTTCGCTTATCGCCAGATGGCTTTTGATTTCACCAGAGTCAAGAAGGGGTACGTCAAACATGGTGTTTTGAGAGTTTGTGCTTATAGGCATTTGCCTCCTCTTACCTCTACTTTCTACTACTGACTAGACAGCTCACTCTTTTTTTCACTCATGTGCTATATCCAACAGCTGTTCTTATACATCTGACGCTGTGTTGTATTTTTTCAGTGCTGACGGCGTGATGAGAACCATGACCACTGAGAAGCTGTTGAAAGGCATGCCTGTTCTGCAGACTCAGATTGACACACTCCTGGAGTTCGATGTGAGTCAGACTTTGGCTCGATATCTGTATCTATTTTACAGTACCGTGCAGCATCACAGAAGTTTTCCAAGGGGTTCGCTTCACCTCTCATGTGTTCTCTTCCTTCTCTCAGGTTCATCCCAAGGAGCTGAACAATGGGATCATCAATGCTGCATTCCTGCTTCTCTTCAAGGACCTGGTCAAACTGTTCGCGTCCTACAATGACGGAATCATCAACCTATTAGGTTAGTAGACCTTGAGTATCTTTCACTTAGCACCTCAGAGATGAAGACATGCATCACAGAGAATCTGAACCTGCAAACCTGTTGTTTCCTGTACGCAGAGAAATACTTCAAAATGAAGAAGAGTGACTGTAAGGAGGCCTTGGAGATCTACAAGAGGTTCCTGACCAGGGTGACAAAGATTGGGGAATTCATGAAGCTCGCTGAGGTAAGGGGCAACCACCAGTCCTTAATATGACCTTCATAATGACATGTACTGTCCACAGTATGAGCCTGTTTACTCCTGGTATTAACGTACATCCTGAGTGTTTGAATCACAATTGAGCAGCTTTAAGTCTGACTGTTCACACCTGGCATTAGAATGCATCTCCACAAGCGTCTCAAATGACCACTTGTGATTGATTCTCACCCCTCCAATCTCTATGCAAATAAACACATAAATCATTTCTGTTTGCAATGACCAAATGCGTTGTCGTTTTTAACTGAAGTCCTGTCATGCTATACGTACACTAACCGCCATTGATATTCAAAATGGGAAAAATCACACTACATTGTAGAGCTGTGTGCGGCACATCGATTCGCTCAGCCCTTCCTTGCCCCCCTCTGTCTCTTTCTGTTCATGACAAGACAAGCACACTCAGAGCTCTCTTTGTCTCCCGGGGTATGAGAGTGCGAGCTCCACACCGGCCACAGTTGGTGAGAGTCTGCCTGGCAGCACATACAGTGACATGGATAGCTGTTAGCATCACACGGTTTTCATTGACTAACAGTTATTAACATGTCAAGCCGTTTAGGGGTCGGACTGAATTTGTTCGGACCGTTTAACAGCTGCTGCTGTGTTAGCTTGTGCTAACCAGGCAGACTTTGAACTGGGCCCAGGGGCGTTCCTTCAGCACTCTACCTAACCCGTGTAACAGCAGCAAAAGAAAATTCTGTCATCTGAGCGAGTCAGATAAACAAGGACGTAAGCTGAGCAGGTGGTTCTTTAATGTTTCCCAGGGCATATTAGCTGACACACTGTGGAAAGAATGTGGTCATATGTGGCCCAGACTACATCTGAGGGTGCTTTCACACGTGCTTCAATGTTTAGTTTATTTCTTGGGGTTTTCCCGCATGGGAATTCTGACCAATCAAGAGCAGCTTTCTCACACAAAGCATTTGATCTGGTCTGCTTGTAAATGCTGCCATGAGAACATGAACCAACTCTAGGCAATTATGGAACTTTGTAACAAAATTAGTCCCTGATTCAGACCAAAGCAAGCGAACGCTAGGTCTGAAAGCACCCTGAATGTTGCCTGAGCAATCAGATCTCAAGATGCATTGAGGACACATTAGGTGCATTCACACCTGTTCTTAGAGTTGTCCACTTATCAGCTGATCAACCAGGATGCATGTTAATACAAGGTGTAAACAGGGCCTGTGTCATGTGTGGGGACTGTGCAGTGTGGTAATGCTGATTTTAAATTCTTTTCCGTCTTACAGACAGTTGGAGTCGACAAAAATGACATTCCTGACATCAACTACGTAAGTTAACACATACAGTATTTCAACTCTTATGATTTTTCCCTGGAAGGATTTCGACCAAGAATATAATGCACATGAATACAACCCATCCCACCTCACACACGCACACACAGATACTCCCATGACTCACCCACCATAAATCTCCCCACCCCAGTGTCTCCACCCGGGGGTAGTGGTGGATCTAGCAGACTCAGACGACGAAGACTGTCCTTTCACACCTCTCGAGGACCCGGTAACCACAGAAACACAGGGTGCCCTGGCTGAGTGCCTGATTACAGGATGGAGTGTCGGCATGTTGATCCTAATTGAATTTCAGACACACAAACCCTTTGTGTGTGTGTTTATATGTGCATGTGGTTATTGCAGTGAGATTTTCCAAAGCTCTGTCACTCTTAGATTTTACCACGTTTGGACTTGCACAGTCCGGGGATGTAGGAGACAAGTGAACAGGATTATTTATTGATTTCACCCGTTTCCATTTTCTGTCAGGCTCCCAGCAGTATCCTGGAGAGTCTGGAAACACACATGAACGGCCTGGAGGATGTGAAAGGAGGAAAGAAGGGGTAAGACACTGTCAGTTTGAGTGCCTTTTGCTCTCAGTGCGACACTCAGTGTGATGTCAGATCAGAAGGATTAGGATCGCTGAGAGCTGAGAAACTCCCTCTTTGTTTTTTTTTTGTTTTAAAAAGTACGTAACCAAGAGAAATGTTGGTAGAAACAGGCCTTAACAAGTGTTATGTTTCTATAATTTCCTTTAACCCTTCCTCTCTTTTATCCCCCTTTATGTTCATTTGGAATCACCAGTGAAGGGTGAGCATATACTGAATGTTTTGTTTAGAGTTCACTAACTTCTATAGAAAACTGTGTAGATCTGTTTTTCATTTCCCTCCAGCCAGGTAAACTCACACGTTATTCACATGTGAATTTTACTGCCTCTGTGATCTCCATGTGAATAAAAACATAACTACACTACAGCTTACTAAGTCTACATGTGGAAATGTGTGTATTGATGTGATTACATGTGAGACACACATGTTTTGATAAACAGTAAGTCACCTCATGTGTATTATCACATCCTGACATGCAATGTGAATCAGTATATGAAGGGTTTTTTCTCCAAGTTGAATTGATTATCAGCACAAATTATAAATATTTGTCGACAGAATAAGGGTATTTTAAACAATTGGACACACAGAATGCTGCTTTGGAAATGGACTCTTCATATGATCACATATGATGCAATCTGTCGTGCATATTTGTTCATGCCTTTAAAAATAAACCCACCAAATAATTCTCAGTCTGTGTCCAGCAGGTCCGTCTATTTCACGCAAAAGAACTAACTTTTCCCTCTGCTCCTTCACTGTTTCAGGTCTCCAACAAAGGTGAGATGCACGTTCAAAAAAGTCTGCATCTTTATTGAGCTCTTACAGTCTGATGCACCGCTATAAAAGGGGCTTCTCTGGCTATCTTTCAGGGGTCTCCAACAAACAATGTGTCTCCAACATCAACACCTGCCAAATCTTCAAATGCTGTTCCCGCACTGCAGCCTCCTCCTGGGGAGAGTGCTGCCGCTGCTGCTGCTGCTCCTGCTGAGCCAGCTGAAGAGTAAGTGACCGTAAACTCTGTGACCTCCTCCCTGACGCTCTGAGAGTCTAAACATTCGACAATAAATTGTGCGACCTTTGAAATGTTTCAGGATGTACCAATCTTATTTTTAGCCACACATATCAGTTGGTTGCTCCATCATGTTGGTCCAGACTGAAATATCCCCACAGCTATGTTAGAGGGCACAAAGGGGCTAGGAAAGGATTATGTTTTGGCTTAAAATACCCGGTTTGCTCACCACAAACATGACTGGAAATGTCACTTGTCTTGAACAGCAGTTTGCTGCTTGGTAACTGTCTAACCTACATCTCACGCCATCCACTATCCCCTCCTCCTCCTCCTGATGACAAAGTCAGTAAATATACATGTAACCTTAACTAGGGCTCTTTCATAATGTTGATATGATATGCATGAAACATAAAAAAGTAACATCTGTGGTTTGCAGAAGCGTACAAGTCAACATTTTATTGTGGCGTCAGGGCAGATTAGCCTCAGCTGAAGGTTGTGCCACGTGCTTATTAGCAAATGTTAGCATGTTAACATATCATTACATAGTTGAGTACAGCCTCAGATAGCTGTAGACCTTTACTCTTGTTTATGGCTATCACTGATAACAACTTAAAGGAGAAACACCCCGTCTTGTGATTTTAATGAGTGTTAAAAATAAATCATGTAGCCACCCTGTAATTTTGAGCCATTTCCTTGCTATCCATTTCAGTGATACTAAAATTGGGCGAGTAGTTTTTCCATAATCCTGCTAACAAACAGATAAACAACCAACCAACAAACAAATCGAATCAATTGGCAGAGGTTATAATATTTACCTCTTTCTTCAACAAGCAAATGTGAAGAATTAATCTCTGCAAAGCATGTTGGGGCAGCATGGTGCCCATTATCGCCTCATAGCAAGAGGGCTCCTGGTTCAAGCCCGCGGTGGGGGGTCCGAACCCAGGGTCAGGGACCCTTCTGTGCAGAGTTTGCATGTTCTCTCATGTCAGTGTGGGTTTCCTCCAGGTGCTCCAGCTTCCTCCCACAGTCCAAAGACATGCAGGTTAATTGGTGACTGTAAATTGTCCGTAGGTGTGAATGTGAGTGTGAATGGTTGTCTGTCTCTTATGTGTCAGCCCTGTGATAGTCTGGTGACCTGTCCAGGGTGAACCCTGCCTCTCACCCAATGTCAGCTGGGATAGCTCAGGCTGGGCGGTATGACAGAATTTTCATACTACTTTTTTAAGAAAAAATCATATCGGTTTCACAGTATTTGACGGTATTTTGCTCAGGTTAAGCCCACTTGACATGCTGCTGTGTTGTGCTGTGGCCTATTCAAGTTCTGGAATTTATTATTTACGTGACAACACCTGAACACAACACAGGCTCCACTCCATTAGTGCCGTTATAATTGTCTCGCACTTGGGTTGGCTTCAGTCAGGAAAATAAGGCCCAAGCCGTGCTCTAGTGTGTGCGTGTGTGTGTGTATATGTGTGTGTGTGTGTGTGTGTGCGCGCGCGCGCACGCATATGCATCTGTGTGCGCATCGGGGTGAAACTCCACCGTACGCAATACAGAGAGCAGAGGAGAATTGTAAACTTTCAACCATGAAGAGACAGAAATGACATGCGATCATGTAAATAAGATAAATAACATAAGGTTATTTAGTTTGTTTAATAAAAGGACAAGCAGGGGTTAAAGTTCTCCGGCACAGCGCCGGATTTCCGGCGTGGCGAAGTTTCAGTCCGGCACGGGCAGAAGTGCTCTGCAGTGCGAGCATTTCACTCGCATTTGCCCCTAAAAATATATATATATATGTGTGAACCAGGAAAATGATTTAGGCGCACAGTGTGCGAGTAAACACAACCTACTGTTTACCATAATCGTCATTGGACGTTTTTTCATTGATAACCAATGAAATAAATGTATTTTAAAACTCCCTCCCTTGGCTCTGATACAGCCGTCTCCCTCCCTGCCTGCAGTCCCCACTGCACTGAGCTTTGTAACAATGTCCTGCCTACAGCCCTCTGATTGGTTACACGGCACAAGTGATAGCCAATCAACACTGACGCCTGTGCATGCTTTCACATCATGTCACACTGAGACACAGAGCTCAGACAGAGCAGGAGAGGCTCTGGTAAACCAGTGGTAATTTTGAAGGTAAGGTAACAGAAACCAGACAGAAATGAAAGTTGCAATAAAAATCCTCTATGCTGAAGTTTTAAAGTCACCACCACAACATTATATGATCCATTTCAATGATGACATGCTTGCCCAGAGGCGAAATTTCGACGTAACTGCCTGTTTAATTAACATCTAGCGTGATACAATTTTGTAAAGAGCCTAAATGATTTAGCTTCTAGAAAAAAATAGCACCAAGGCAAAAAAGAGATGTAGGAGCTATAAGTCAAAAAGTCTGATAACCACTGAAAGTTTAATCTTTATTTATAAACTCATTAAGCTATAAAAGTTTAATCTGAAAAGCTATAATCTTTTTGTTTGTTTTAATACTAAACACGTTCCTTTGCAACACATACATTTCTATTTCTTCATTTTGTGACCGCAACACCAAGCCCCCCGCTCCGGAAAAGATTTCAGGCACACAAATCTTCCGTGCTCCACATTTCAGGCACAAAATTTTTTCTTGCTTTAACCCCTGGACAAGATATAGATCTGTTCCATAGGCCCTGGATATGAAGCGTACATAGCGCCAAATAATATAACAGTAGTTTCTAAAGAGCTAAGCATGGCTCCGGCTGTAGCACACCTGTGGAGTGCAGCGGTGAAATGGGTCCCTGCTGAAACACTTTCCCGCCGCACATGTTCTGGATGTTGTTTGGGCTATTCACCGGTGTGGTATATGAAAAATTCATATCATAACGAAAATAAAGACCGGTTTTCGGTATGAACCGGTATACCGCCCAGCCCTAGGGATAGGCTCCAGCACACCCACGACCCCCAACAGGCTAAGTGGTTCCAGAAAATGAATGAAAGCATGGTGAATTGATTCTTTCTTTCTCTCTCTCTCTCTCTCTCTCTCTGTTTCTGTCTCCTTCTCCAGTTCCTTGTTGGACCTGGATCCACTATCCTCCTCGGGTCCCTCAGCACCATCAGCTGCCCCCACGTCTTGGGGAGGTAGGTCTCCGTCCTTCCGTCAACTCAGCTGCTGGTTCAAAATAATGCAAATCCACATTCTGGCATTTACAGTATATTATGCCGCCATTACTGTGAACATCCACATAAAATGGTTTCACTTACAGTGTAGAAATAACCTCTTCAGCAAAGAAGAGTAAACTAACAGTCTGTAGGATCTGTCCTAAACTGTTTTAGCCTGGGCTTGAACTAACATGTTTTCCTTGTTACCTTGCTCTCTGCCTCCATAGATCTTCTTGGATCAGGTGAGTCACACTCTTCTCTTCACCTCCAGCCTCTACTCTAGATGTGTAGTAGTCTTTCATCATCCTCCAGGACATCTCAATGTCAGTGATTTTTGTTCTTTCTGAGCCAACTCTGATCTGAAATTGAGGTGATCTGGAAACAATGTCAGAGTTTAAATCCAAACTAATCGTAAAGATAGACTGTAATGTATAACTGTGACATGGTTACCTCCCTGTTTGTCTCCTCAAGCTGTTCTCTTTAGTCTGAGTAGTCTCTTTGTTTCTCTCTGCCCTCTCTCTCCCTTCCCTCCACATACTCCATTGTCTGTTTTTGGTTTACAACGGGGGCTATTTTGGTTGGTTGTTTTTTATTTGTTGGTTACGACCGGATGGTGTTGGATTATTTAACTTTTAATTTTGTTAAAATTTTGCTTTGCTTGGTCAATTCCAAAAAATTCTTACCTGGCTTTAATTTGAATTGGACCTTTTGTTTTGACTTGCTTTTGTTCACTGTTGTCACGGTGACTCAACTGGTTCTTTTGGTTGCTCTTTTGGGGTTTATTTTTGGTACCTTTCTTTGGGGATTTCGAACGCCCTGTTGATGCTCGCAGAAATGGGCGATTCCTTGCTATCTGAACCCACCCTCACGGCAGAGCCCGCCCCCTCCCCTGCAGCAGCAACGCCCACTCCTGCAGCGGCAGAGCCCGGAGTCTCTCTAGCTCCTCCCACTAGCACAGCAACCGCCACCTCCCCTGGCGCCGCCAATATGGATCTGTTGGGAGGTCAGTGGGCTTCCAGAAAATTCTCTACGAAAGAATCACTCTGGGAAGCTCAACCCTAAAACCATCACACAAATATGATAACACAAAGACGACTGCATGCTCAGACACATACAGTATGTAGTCAGAACTATGCTGATTTATCACTGATACTGTCTGTACTCTGCTAACAACGGTGCATCATCAAAAACAGTGAAGTCTTAATGATGCACTGATGCGCGCTGCCACCATTATCAACTGCCTAATGTGCCCGGAAAGTATTCAATATTTAATACATAAATAATTATAAAACACATTTTGTAAAATATATAAATGACCAGAAAAAAAATGTAAAATAATTAAAGAATTTGACTCATTAGAGATCAGTGGTGTAGTGGAGTGTATACACAGTTATACAGGGTATACAGCCATTGGCACATATAGGAGAGTATACCCACTTTCTCCATAGTAACCTACACATCTACCTAGTAGTATACCCATCTCATCAACGACCACTACACCACTGTTAAAGATGTTATTTCATGACTTATTGTTTTTATTTCATCATAGACAGTTTTATTTCAAAATTCTCTTTTTCCAAGTGTCTTTTTATTCCATAATCACATTTACCCTGTAACACTTTTACATCATGTCCCTTTATATTATAGTCTCACTTTTCGTAACAGTTTTGTTGTGAACACCCCCTCACCATTCAGCCAATCACATGCCTCCAGCCTCTACAACTGTGACCAGACTTAGCTAGTCTGGGGCCGTTTAGTGGCCGTTTTGGTAAGGAGCCGGAACTAGGGTGAGAGAGACAGGATCCGGAATTCGATGGATGCGCTTTTCCGTCAAAATAAAAGCACCAAGCTAATAAAAATGTGGTGAAACTTTTTAATTTAAAGAATATAATTTACAACAAAAGCCCCAAGCCATTAAGTTAACCTTTTTCTTTTGTTGTAAATCGATGGTGCACCAGAATTTAAAGTTTTACTTTGGTGAATTTGGTGAATTCCGGATCCGCTCTCTAGACCGGAACCAGAGTCCAGACAAAATTCAGAGTGAATGGAAACCAGGCTCTTCCCCATTCCCCGTACGTGAAGAGCCTGGTGATGCGAGGCTAAGACTTAGCCAGGCAAGTAACTGTTGTCAGCTAGAGCAGTGGTTCCCAACTTGTGGGTTGCTGGGTTCTTTGTAAATGGACCGCAAGTGACTTGTGAACATGTCAAGTTTGTAAAAAAACAAAAACAAAAAAACACCCTTTATTCTAAAGTACAGTGACAGCTTTTAGTTTCAAGTGTCGGTCCCTGTTGTAGAGTGAATGACTAACAGACAGCTACTTGACAGAGATGGTACACTAGCTCAACAACATGTTCAAATGCAAGTATGACAGTGAATATCTATAGTTGGGAACCACTAAGCTAGGGCAAGAACAATGTCAGTTATTCCAAATCAATGAACAGGCGGCTGCTGCTGTAAATAAACACAGACACAGTAACTTCACCTCCTTTTATGCTAGGTAGGTATGTTTACATGCTACATAACACGCTGGGTTGTGAGTTCAGATTATTATTACTGAGCATCAAAGTGAAAAGATAGTGTTAGCAGTGTTAGCTAGCTCCTGTTAGCTTGATTGACTACAAACCTCTGTGGTTGTGTGTCCTTGTGCAGTGCAATGCTAACTGTGAAATAACCAGCTGGCTGCTCCTGTGGACCCAGTTGGCAAAGGCTACATTCACATAACAGAGCTTAGTGCTAATTTTTTTCCCCTAGATCTGATCTTTCTGTCTAGACTGTACACATTCATGTTTGAAGTGACCCATATTTGACATCTGTGTGACGTCAGATATGCCCTGAATCGCCTCATGTGCAAGCAATAACGTCACACACACGTGTGCTGAACGATTAACAAAAAATGTCACATTTGCAAGACAGGCATTTGGGGAAAAATAAATGATGTAGCGATGCAGGTGTACATCTCATAAATGATTTGCTACAGAGGTTTGATTATAATTCATCATATGTTGAAGATATAGATGAGAAGAAGAAGGAATACAAAAACCACAGCTAAAGCTTTACTAGCAGCCATTGCTGGTAGTTCCGTGGAGAGAGAGGAGTGGGTGCAGGAGAGGAGTCAGGAGTGGTGGGACCGCGATGTGGAGGGTTTCACTCCAAAACTTAAATGTCCGGGGCCGCATTCCAATATGTCTGTCGGCGCCTCACAACAAAGCTGTCACAGCAGGACCAAAAATTAAGCAAGCTGTCCCCCACACAAAATGTCTGGCAGTCAGCTCTACTGGCTGGAACTGGGGCAGCGTACCGCAGCAGCAGTACAGCTGTAGGAGCCGTATGTAGTTTGGCGAATGATCTGAGCCTGCACTGTGAAGTATGACGTGGAAAACACACATGAATCTGATATGACGGTTCTCACGGTGGTCGCATAGTCAGTGTTTGGATATGAATCGGCCCTCCGACAACATATGTAAGCGACCCAGATCTGATTTTCATGTCTGCACGACTCTGAAAACGTGATCTGTGTTAGGTGAGAACAAAAACTGGATTTGGGCCACATTTGCTCGTAATGTGAATGCAGCAGGTGATCAGCTTCCTTGTTGAAGAGAGACGAGGGCATTTGATAGGCTGAGAAGGTGAGAGGACAGTGACAGGTGACAACACTGCTGTCATGATGACAAAAAACGTGACATTAAATCAAAGTATCAGTGGGGCAAATGTCATTATGAAATAAAAGACTTTTGAAAAATGGACGATAGAAGAACTCCAATAAAACCGTCATGATGAAAGTAATGATGAAATAACATTTCTTAGTATTGAGTTATTTTATTGCACAAATGACTGCTTCATTTATTAGTTTTACACATTTATTCACCTGATTATATATTTTATAGTCATTCATTTATTTAATATGTCCCCTTTGGGCCTCCTTACAAAATAGTATGATAAGCACAGAATCTTAATTTCTCTGTTGCACAAACACAGACACAATATTCCTGCACAAATGCTCACACACATGTCTGCATTATGTGATTATGTACAGCCACACACTCACCTTGGGCTTGCACATAAACATACTGCTACAGTCATTCTCCACATGCGTCTTGTTTGATAGGCAGACATGCTTTTCTTTGACCTCAGTGAAAAGCAATTCTATCAAACCCTGACACATGGCTACAGCTACAGATGGCAGCTGTAACACTTGTAGATTTCAGGCTTATTCTGTTCTTTGTGCAGTAGATTAATCCTTGCTGTAGTGCCTCCTGTCTGTATTCCCATTTGTCTATTCACCTGTCAGTCATTAATGTCCTGTATTAATGCCGTAAGCTACCGTTTGAATACTTTTCTGTTGAATGCGCTAAGCTCACTTTTATTACCCTGATGCTCTCTTTTCCTCCTCATGTTTCCTGATTCCTGATTTTCTCTTTTCATCTGTTCTTCCTCGTCTGTCTCTGTCTCTCTGGGTGTCTCTGTCCTCTGCTGGGGTCTCTATGAACCCCAGATGCCTTTGCAACACCTGCTCCTGCCACTGAGGCCTCTGCAGCAGCAGCTGAAGGTGGGGCCGCTGCCACGTCTGCCCCAGCCGCCAACGCTGGAGCTGGTGGGTGACACAACGTCTGTCTGTGTGTGTGTGTCTGTTTGTGTGAGTGAGTTTGAGTCAGTGGTGGAAAATAGCTTAGTACGTGTTTACTGTAAGCGTGCTAGTTTTACACTGCAATACAGGAATAAAGGTCTTTGTTCATTCCCATGTTTTCTACTTGGATCATTAACCGGTGGGGATGCTAACTTTATTCTAGAGACCTGTTAGCTTTAGCCTCTTTATTTTAGCATTATGTCATGTATGTACAGGGTCCTTATTTAATATGATTGAGCTGGAAAGATTTAAAAAAGCAGCCAAAGGCAACATTTATAACCAATCTTGAAGCTAACATTAGCTTAATGAGCTTCCTAGATAGTGGCTATAGTTGTCCTTGTTCCTTTTTCGGAAGACATTTTGACATATCAGAATAGGAAAACCAAAGGTGTTGGTTGTGTGAAGACTGATGTCACTGTCAGAGAGAGGCTAGCTCTTTCTGCCTGTTAAATCAACTGACCTTCTGTCAATGCTACTGCAGCCTCCTTTCTGCTCCCACTTCCTTTCTCTTTACACATACACAGCCCTTCCCTTTGTCTGTGCACGATCACAAATGCCACCTGTTGCTGATTGGCTTCAATACTGATGTGTGGCTCGATCCAAACCACTTTGTTTCCCACATACAGAGCCGCGGCTGTGTATGCGCTCAGGATTATTTATCAGCATTTTATCACATAGCAGACGGCTAGCTGACCATGAGAAGTGTATTGGATTAGAATCACAGACTGCACTTTTAAGTAAGGCTAAAAAAGTTGGATTCATAATGGAATATACACTCACCGGCCACTTTATTAGGTACACCTTGCTAGTACCAGGTGGGACCCCCTTTTTATGTCTTGGTGGCATAGATTCAACAAGGTGCTGGAAACATTCCTCAGAGATTTTGGTCCATATTGACATGATAACATCACAAAGTTACTGCAGATATATCAGCTGCAAATACATGATGAAAAACTACCGATCAAACACATCCCAAAGGTGCTCTATTGGACTGAGATCTGGTGACTGTGGAGGCCATTGGAGTACAGTGAACAGATGCAGGTCGTCTTGACCATGTCTGCATGCCTAAATGCATTGAGTTGCTGCTACATGATTGACTGGTTGAGTCAACTATTTGAGTCAACAGGCAGTTGAACAGGTGTACCTAATAAAGTGGCTGTTTAGTGTATATATAATGTGGTAATGCTGCTTTTAATTAAGTGAAGGATCTGAATACTTTTTCCACCACTGTTTTGAGTGCCATGACGATGAAGGAAACAGATGTTTAGTAGCTTAACCATAGGCATGATGGGACCCTGGGCCTGGACGTGTAGGAGTGGATTACAACTCACTTAAAATGAATCATGGTGGTTTCTTTCTTGTCATATGTTCAAATTTTCCTTCAATTTTTTTTTTGTTTGGGTCTTTTGGGGCTCTGATATGGACAAAAAATACATAGTTAACAACAGTGACCTCACTCAGAAGCACTGGCCCATTCGGTGATACACCCATTAGCCTAACAGGCCTGTATGTGTTGGTGTTTATGTTCTTGTTGGTGTCAGGTTTTAATCAGTTTCATCACAAGGCTTTGTGCGGGGACAGTAGGCGTACAGATTTGTTATTGGTGTCAAGACGGTGCTATTGTTGTTACCATGGCGATCAGGGACAATACACTTACTTGTATTGTATCTTTTGGCATCAGAAGATTTGTGCGTTTTCTGTTACGGAGAGACGTTGCCTGTGGCAGTTGTCTGGTTTTAATTGTAGTTTAGCTGTGGTTTGTGTCTCAGGTTTATATACTGTGAAGGTGTTTAATATGTCTTTGATCACAGATGCTATTTTTAGCGGTTTCCACTGACAGCCGGAGTGTGTCGGAGCTGTGCACATTCTCTCCTATTGTTCCCCTTTTCTCCTTTCATGTTCATTGCTGTGTTTTCATCCTCTTCACATAAATCATGTATCTATTTTATGTTGTGTTAAAGTCATTGTCTAACATCCTCCCTTCCTATTCATGTGTCACATTTCCTCCCCACCTCTTCCCCAAAGACCCCTTTGCTTCCTCGGATGGTAGCACCAACGCAGCGTCTTCAGGTCTAGACCTTTTCAGCATGATGACAGCAGAGAATAATAACCCGGGTAGCTCGCTGGATGCCTGTTTCACCTCTGTGGTGCCCCAGCCCTCCCCCTCCCCTTCCCCTTCATCGCTCTTCACCTCCGCATCCAGCACCATCACCACCACTGCAACCATTTCAGCTCCCAGCGCGGCCAACCCTGCGACTGATCTTTTCAGCGGTAAACGTTAGAGATGTGTGTGGTCCGGTGTTAACCTTAATGTCTTGTGCTCTTATTGATTAGCACCTTCCTGAATTCCCTATCTGATGCTGCTTGTCATCCTCTCCCCTCCTTTATTCTCCTTTTGTGGTTTCATCAGACTAATGTGCTCATACTGAAGGTCTTTTTCAGTTGGCTGTTGTATGCGAGAGCATCCTCACCATTTTAAAGCATTTTAATATTCCAGTCTCTGGGTGCGCATGTGTTCGTAGATCTCTTTGATTCCATGCCAGATACGAGCTTCACCAAAGCAGACCCCGCTCCCAGTGTTGACTTGTTTACAGCAGGTACCCTGTTGCACCACCTCACTCTCATATCCTGTCTTGCCGTGTCTGTTCTCCAGCTTTGTCCTTGGCTTTGATCAGAGAAGGAGAGAAAGAAAAGGAAATGAGATTGCTCTCTTATGGGTCAGCTAAAAGCTATTGAGCTGTCTGAAACATTTACTAAATCACTCTTTCCCATTCAAGCATGTTCTGCGTGCGCTGGTTTATAAATGTGCATTATGATGAATCACAGTTTGTGTGTGTCTACGTGTGAGTGTGTTTGGGCTCTAAACACCATCTCCACCTTGCCCTCCCCAGCGGATGTGTTCAGCTCCCCTGCCCCCATCCTGTCCTCCGCACCCCCACCCAAAATTGACACGGGAGCCATCATGAACCTGTTTGGTGGTGGGTAACTCATGTGACTGCCTGCTCTCACTCTGCCTCCCCTGTCCATGAATGCATCACGAGAAGAGGAGTACAATCTGGGAAACAAGTTTAACAACTGATATTAATTTTAGGCTTTATGGTCAGAAATACTGGGCAGATTTGTTGGTGCATGTTTGACTTTTGTTGCTATGGGAAATCATGGAGGTATAACAAGTAGATGAAACTTGAACCAACTCAGTCTCACTCCCAAGTCATCAAATACCGACACTTGGTCAGTGGCCCTCGGCGTCAGATACCAACACACTGAGGCACCCTTTAGTGGTGCTACAGGTATGAGATGCACCGGGCAGTGGCAATTTTTTTGCCGTGGAATTAAGAGTGAGAAGGTCCGCATAGGGCGAGTAGGAGGGAAAGTGCATGGGTCATAGTATTAGGGCGATATAACGACTGTACGATATATTGATATGTATTATATTTTCAAACAAGATATAAATTAAGACAACACTGTTTATATCAGTATAGGGTCAGGTTGCGTTACATAACACATACCAGTGTGCATCTCTCTTCCATCACACTTGTCACAGCTCCGCCCCACTCACTCACTCACTCACTCACTCACAGTTTCTCCATCAACACTCAGACACTCAGAGCTGCTCCTCTGTTTAATCTGTCTGTTCATTAGTAAACAGTGTGACATCAGTCTATATGTTGCACGTGCTTCGCTAAATCAGTCTGTGAGATGAATGAAATGACCGCAGCACGCTTAGTTTGTGTAGTGGATCATAGCGCTTTGCCGGTCTTCTTGGTAGTTGTAGTCTTCTTTTTCGTGACACTCAGACAGCGCTGGCGACAGATGTATTTAAAAACTGCAGTGACAAAGGACGTTTCATGTACAAGACGTATATTACGCAGACAAAGTGTCTCTCTCTCTTTCCCTCTCTCGGCTTCTCTGTTGATTCTCTGTGCATAAATCAGATTAACATCCTAAACAGATAAAAATATTTTCCAGCACTAGATTCATTTGAAAGGCCAACAGATGGAAATGACTTTTAACTCCCCCCAGAAAGATTTTTAATTGTTTCAGACCTACTGGATACTTTTATGGTCATGTTATAGTTTTGTGTCCTGTGCTGCAAACCTTTAAATGCTGTAGCTACAGTGCTGTGTGCAAAAAGTTAACGTACAGCCCTGCTATTTATTTATTTTGCGCAGCTGAATATCATCAAACAGGGAAAAAACATCCCTGACTTTGCATTTTCATTTTGATCACTGTCGGTTTTTATAAAACTGCTTGTGACATCTTAAATGTGGCTTTGACTTGCAACTGAACATGTAGCTCATTTCATAGAAAATACCAAGATAAATATCGTGTACCACCAGCTAGCCTGTAAATACCGAGATTGAATTCTTGTCCATATCGCCCAGCCCTAGCTAGTATGTGGAGCACACTGCACTAGTGACATATTTTACATGATGTTACAATACGTCAGTAACAAACTTACTTATTTTAAGTTAAACCATGATGTTTACTCACAATTTTAACCACGCTGTTCTGTTGCCTAAACCAAAGAAAGTGAACCTATAAACCTACACTCTGAGTTTACTTTGAAAAGGGACTGTGTGGATTTAACAAGTCGGCACCGTACGCTTCCTGTGAGAACAGCGGTTTACCTTAAAAAAAGACAATGCTTGTGAAGAAGGTAAACTGATGTGCTGTCCCTGGGTGTCCAAAATTGACCTGTAGGGCCACTGACCAAGCGTCAGTATGAATGTGTTATTATTTATGAACTTCAAGCTTCGACTTCAGACCTGGAATTCTGTTGTTTTTATTACTTTCCTCTTACTCCTGGCCTTAGTGATTTTAAAAATGCACGTGGACACTTAACTGCGACTGTCAAATGAGTGTGCCATTATGATAAGACATGTGTATGTGTACCTGTGAGTGTGTGTTTTCCAAAAGCAATGTTTCCTGGTTTATTTAAATATACACATCATGTACCTGCCTTCCCGTCTAACTCTAAACACTTTGTTTGGCATTACCAGCGTGAAGCCGAAGCCTCACTATTACCCATTCTTTGCCCTTATGCTGCGATGGGAATGGCTCATCGACCTGCTCTGACCTGGCATGGCTTGGTTTGGTATATTTTGGGTTGACCTGCCAGAGTCCACAGGAGGAGATGCCACGGCCGCTGCTGCTCCTGCCGCCCCCGGTGCAGAGCTCATGTCAGGTAAAAAAATAAATAGATAAAATGTGAAAGGTCACTCTGCATGTGTAGTTTGTACAGTGGAGGGAAGAGCAACACGTTGCAGACGTTTTACAGAAATATTTTCATTTCTGTAAAACACACCGTGCTGCAGCCATGGATGGATTACTTAACGGACTTAAAGTGCACAGGGTTTGAATTTAAAAATCTTAAATCTTACTGTTTCCTTCGTGTTATAGCGGCACAGCACACTGGGGCCACAGTCACATTAGTAAAGCTATTTAAATAAGTTTCGCAGCAGAGTAGCTCTGCTTTAAGAAAATATAACCTGCATGTCACACTTTCTCTGACAGTTTTATTTTATATAGCGTGCTTCTTCATCTCCAGTGTGAACTGCATACTGAAGTTAAGCTGCTGTTTTTCAGCCAACAGCAGAATCAGAGAGCTCTGGTTCACCAGCAAAATGTTGTTGAAAGAGACATTGTTTGTTGTGTTTCAGTCTGGATGTCTTGCTACTCTATAGGAGGGGTGGGGGCCTTTTACACGTTTGCGCCTCCTCATAATCCGTCCATGACTGCAGCTCTTGTTAATCCATTAGTAGCTGCATGCGGCCTTGGTGTTGTCCTTGTAATAATTTGTACTTCAGAGCCACTTTATTGACATCTTCCTTACAGTTGTTTACAGTAGTGACTTCGTTTACATGCACAGAATATTTTTACCCTTACTCTGAAAAAGACAATATTTCTACTAAGCTGTTTCCATGGCTACTGAAAATGAAGATTCCACTAATGCTCCTGTTTACATGCAGTTGTGCATGCTCAAATGAATGTGCTCTAACATGTTTATCGCCACAAAAAAGTGTTCGACCAGGCAAACACAGCCTCCCTCTTTCATTCTTTCAACCACCTCCTTGAAAAGGTTGGCGTTGCGATATTTGCACATATCCAAGTCTTTCGTAATGTTTGAAAGTAGGTGTGTTTCTCCTTTTGCCCAGAAATGTGGGCTTTCCTTTTGGGAATGCAGCTCTACCACAGCCTTGTAAAGTTTTGGTGAGTGTACAACGTATCCATGGCAACACAGAGGTAAACATAAACAGGGAAAGGGCCATGTGTTGCAAACTTTCGGAATAAGCCTAATTTAGACACATATTCCCAATGTGCTGCGTAAAGCCCAATTCAGACCAAAGATTTGCGATGTGATGAAATAATTTTAGAACGTTGCAGAGAAAAGTTGCAGCGGTGTGAACTGGCCGGTCTGAGCTCGACTCAAGCCGGCTGATGGTGTCACCTGCATCTAAGCTAGTCAGTTCGCTGGTTGCTGGTTTTAGAATATAAAGCATGTCACCTGTTTCAACAGCCAATCAGCTTGTAAGCTTGTAGTGAAGTCCACTGGTCAGGTCAAAATGACTGCAGACGGCTGGTTCGCCCTCTGTTTCCGTCTTCAGGGTGTCGTTGTTGGATGGTGGGTAGCTGCTGTACGTGCTTATGCCCTCACACACACACATTCTCATTGACTGATAAATAACGCTGGTTAGCCAGTATCTCACTATCACTCTCCTCATTCATATTTTAAGAAGCTACAAATTATATGAAGCCACAAAATAAACCTGAAAAACTGCAAATCAGAACAGAAGTACAGAGAGTTGTTGCATAGAGATGATACACCGTCTCATCTCGTTGCATTGGTGTGAACCAGCAGACAGCGCGTTGCAAGTAGATGCCTGTTTCAACTTGTCTTGTCTCAAATCTTTGGTCTGAACTGGGTTTAAGCATCCTAAGGATGTTCCTAAAACCCAACATATGTCGTCATATTCCAAGCGTCTTTGTCGGAAAATGCAGCATTTGGAAGAACACCTAATTCTGAGAATCCAAACGGAATATACTGTTTCCATTACCTGTATTAAAATTCATAATACTGTCACATTCAGAATAATAGTGGCATATTCATGTGCATGTAAACGTAGTCAGTGTTTGCCTGGTCACAGTGGCTGTTTTGTGGTGTCCGTCAGTCACTGTTTCTAGTAACAGTTAATGAAATGGTTAACTGTTAGCTAATCTATATTTTATGTATTTATATATTCATTCTCACACTGAATACCAACTTGTTATTCAGTTAAAAACTGATGTGTTTTGACTGTCATTGGTTCAGTATTGAAGCAAAGTCACTGTGGAGTCCTACAGATTCAAACTACGTCCATATATGGTTATATCAACGTCATCACCGCATCACCGTCATCTGCATAGTACTACTGTGGTCATTGCTCTCCAGGGGGAATTCCTCCCGTCGATCTTTGCCACCTTTTTCCACCGCCGGTAACCGTGGTAACAGTTACCATGGCAACGTGAACTCCCTGCTCACCTGGTTGCTAGTCATCTCCTGTCCTGTGCTATGGGGTCTTCATGTTATATAACTGACGGTCTGCAATACTACTGCTTTGAGGCTTAACTCGTTCTTTCCCCTCTCTTCCTGTCATTCATGCGGTAAACTCTCATGGTTTCATTGTCACCCGCTCCTTTAAAACCTCATTGCATTTTTTTCTCTCTCTGGCATCTGTGCTTTTTTACTTTCCTCTCTCTCTCTCTCTCTCTCTCTCTCTCTTTCTCTTTCTCTTTTCCTCCCTCTCCCTCTCCATCTGGCTCTTGGGCTGGCTCATTGCTTGCTTCCTGCCATTTGATTGGGTGAGTTTCCTTGCTCTTTAACACGCTAATTTCCCACAGTGCACTGCTGCATTGCAGTGGTGCAAGGCAAGCTCAGATGCACTGTCCCTTCCACCACGAGATGCTTGATGGTTACAGAGAGTGTGTGAAGTAGCATTATTGTTTTTTAGTGCTTCTTTAGCAATTAAACCAGCTTCTCTGTAGCTGCAGTGCTTTTGCTCTCATCATAATTTCTGAAGCACACACACACACACACACACACACACACACACACACACAGTAGAAGCCTTGAAATGATTCAGATGTACCAACACGCATTTAAAATGTATTCTCACTGTGTATGTTATTATGATGGTACAATGCTGCTCTATTTTTCACAGTTACAGTCACAAATTCTGCTTTATACTTATCCCACATACACATATTTAAAGTTGGACTAGTTCTTACTTTCTATGGCCATATTGCAGATTACCATAGTAGTAAGCAGCTGACCCGACAGATGTCTCCTGTAGCAGATATTTTACACACAGTCTACACTGAAACCATTTATGCTCACCTAAATACACTGAAATAGCCTTTACAGTTTGCTGTAGATGTTATTTAATTTCTTATTTTATGATACTAACCTCTCCAGCTCACATGCCAATGCTCCCTTCTTCTCTCTGTTGTCATGGAGACATCTATTGGTTGTCATGGTAATCCCCAGTAGTAAGGAGGACTGCTAGTATGAGGATCGCTTGCACTGAAGGATGCTAATATCTCCCTCCCTCTCTCTCCTTTTTTCCTTCTACCATTCCTTCCCTCCTGTAGTATTTGATGGACTAGGGGATGTAATGAAGCCCACTTTGACCCCTCAGGCGGGGGATGTTGACACCTCCATGGCTAACATGGCAAGTAGTAAGTAGTCATTTAGATTTCATAGATATGGATTTCAGTACTTTGGGAAATACGCTTATTCACTTTCTTTGTGAGAGTTAGATGAAAAGATGGATGGCACTCTTCTGTCTGTTTGATACATACACTGAGTATAAGAAGTGGACATAGCTGTCCCATTGAAGGCTCCTTTAAATGCAGCCGAGAAATGTTGCCTTCTTTCCAGAATTTGGAGCATGCAACAGATGAGTCCTTAGTGGCCCAGCCTACCCCAAGATGCATTGCGCGCCAGTGACGATTATATATTGAGTTAACTAACAGTTGTTAACTAGCTAACAGTTAACTGTTACACTATTAGCTAAAAGCACACAGCTTTAACAATCTTAATTTAATAGGTTAACCTGAAAACAGTCCATCAGCCTGAAATATATCAAACAGTGGTGACTCATCTCCTTGATTATTATTACAATCTCTGGGTCCATCATTTAGTGCTAACTAAGTTACTAGCTTAATCCTTATTTCGTCAAGTGCAGCTGGTTGCCAGGTAACAGGAACGCTAACAGTTTCTGGGCGAGCAACTGGTGATGCAACCAGGAAATCCTGCGCAGACCAGACTGTCCCATTTTGGAGACCATTCGGTTTGGCAGATGCGTTCCTCAAAGGACGTGGCCGACATCCACCGCGAAGGCGGTGTCCTTCAAAGGCTGCAGCCCCTGAATTGAGATACAGCCAGTGACGCACCCTTATCAGCTAAGGCTAAAACTAGCTAGCATGGTTAGCGAGGTGAATTTATAATTCATGTTAACTGATATTATGCTAATGTTGGCTAGCAGAAAAAAACAGGCTTAAAACAAAATCTGCTTACCGTGAAAAATGAACAGCAGACTCCTTAAACTGCATTTTTGTACAACTGAACGCTGAATAACATATTTAGTGACCAAAATGTTACAATTAACTTTCATGAACTGAAAAGTTCCAAGACGAAAAACACAGACTATACCCAAAAATAAGTTATCAGCTATTTGAATGTAGAGATTGAAGAAGACATAAAACTAGTGATTGAGATCATAAACTTATTAGGAAGATGTTTACTGAAGTAATAAATCAAGTGAGAGATGGGCTCATTTTCTCAAAGACTTGTAGCCTACAATTGGAGCTCTTTTTGCAGCCAGTGGAGGCACCTCCTGCTGGCCATTAAAAGAATGCAGGTTTAAGTCACTTCCAACCTGGAGGCTACGTCCACTTCTTTTATAGTTTATGATAATATGAAGCTTCTATCAGAACCTGGTAAGCCTATAGGCTTTTCACACTGCATTCTCTCGGGTTGACCCTATTCTCCCTGTTTCACACTGGCAGCTTTTAGCCCTCAGTTGAGTCCATTATCAGGGGATAAACCTGCAATTTTGGGGCTAACCCTGCTCCAGAGCCTGGCCGGCAAGCCAGGATAAGCCCACCTCGACTGTGTCAGGACTGTGCCAGTGTGCACTTCTTCTTAAGCAGTATGAAAAGCCTTCTAGCTGAGCATAAAGAATCAAAACAGGGGAAACAGCTGGCCTTGTTCTGTCTACTGTAAGACAATATCCACCTACCAGCACCTGTAAAGCTCCTGAATTAACAGATTATATCTTGCTGGTTTAATTTGTAAAAAAAAAAAAAAAATCAAAGTGCTCAGAAAACTGCTCAGAGCAAATAACCCCCTATTAAACAGCAGATTTTTATTTTACACTTCAGTTTTTGTACAGATTAAACAAACAAGATATAGTGTATTAAAGAGTGAGTTTAGTGGTGCTGGAAGGTGGATTTGTTACTGTTAGAGTCGGGCTATGTTTCCACTTCTGTTCCATTTTGTTGGAACTGATCGGTAACTGTAGCCTTACTGAACAGACCAATCTGAGAGTGGTACAAATGTGGTTTAATCAGCATATTTCCCAAAATTTTGAACTCTTTCCTGAAGGCTTAAAGGCAGGTGGCGATCAGCTTATAGAGACTGGAAGCAGTGGGAATCAGCTAGCATGGGTCTGTCCAAAGTCTGTCGAGAAAAAGTTGCAACACTTAACTCTCACATAAACTACATGTTGGGATTTTTACATTTATGTTTGGCTACAGATTTTTAAAAAAGGAGATAGAACATGTTAAATAGTGACCTTTAGAGGTGCTGTGGTAGGCTAGCTGTTTGCAGTCTTTATACAGAGCTAATTGCCTCCTGACTCCAGCTCCATAATTCCTTTTTATACATCATGTTGTCACTATAATGTCAGTAAATGAAAACAGTGATTTTGCAGTACTCTCTGTCTCTCTGTCTTTCTCTTTCAGATCTCACAATGGGAACCGCAGCGGCACCTCAGGTAGCTCCCCCCTGTTGGGGTGCTCCCATGGTAAATGTTGTCTGTGTCTTATAGCATGGAGTGGAGCCGCATGGCAGCAACAGACAGGGCATAGCAGCAATCACAAGCATTGCCTTCATCTGGCTCTCCAGGTTTCAGGTCCAAACACAGACCCAGGAAACTGAGAGGCGTGGTAGTGAAGAAACAAGACTTATAGCAAACCTGTAGCAACCTATAGCAAACTATAAGTAACTGGTGGATTTTATTTAAATGACACTTCTCAGAGAACCTCTAACAAAGCCCATTCACTGGTGGCAAATGTTAAGAAAATGGTTCCAAAGGCCAGATTTAAAGGTACTGTATGTAACTTTATACATGAATTAAACATTTTTATTCCCAACAGATTTTAATGTAACTAAAAATCTGAGACCATCCCCACCTTTCTTGGTTGCCTATTACAGCCTGTGGACTGACTTCTAGGACTCAGGCCAGATTCAAAGGATGTGCTGTTATTCGCGGTGTTGAGCCTTGGCGTTCTTGAGCACCGCTACAGCGCGAACAGTGTGCAACACTAGCTAACATTAGCAAATAACTGGAGTCTGTTAATATCAACAAACAACCGACACCCACCTCTTGGTTGCCTATTAGAGCCTGTGGACTGACTTCTAGGACTCTGGCCAGATCCAAGGATGTGCCGTTATTCGCGGTGTTGAGCCTTGGCTTTCTTCAGATCCACTACAGCGCTAACAGTGCGCAACACAAGCTAACGTTAGCAAATATATGGAGTCTGTTAATATCAACAAACGACCGGCACCCACCTCTTGGTTGCCTATTAGAGCCTGTGGACTGACTTCTAGGACTCTGGCCAGATCCAAAGTATGTACCGTTATTTGCGGTGTTGAGCCTTGGCTTTCTTCAGCTCCGCTACAGCGCTAATAGTGTGCAACACAAGCTAACGTTAGCAAATATATGGAGTCTGTTAATATCAACAAACGACCGGTACCCATCACAACACAGAATCCACATATGCTGCATTTCCGGTATAGACATTTTGCAGCGGCAACCCGGCCAAGATCAACCTTTACTTAACGTCCTGTAGGAAATCCAAATCCGACAGAGCAAGACTGAGCACCTGAGAAATGGGGGTTTGATCCCAAACTGACTCTCAGCTGCCCAGAGTCCCCTTCTGTTGCTGCAGCTAGACGGATTAGACATCTCTGTGAACCCTGGGGCTGGAATTTGCACTGGCTGATTTCGAGTTGTTACAGCAGCTAAAGTCCAAGCTAAAGTCCACTCTCCTCCCGTAAAAGTGGTGTCCTAGTAGCAGGGAGTGAAGCGAAGGGTCCGCAGGCTGTGCTAGCTAGCTAATTCTTGTCTCATTTGGTGTCTGATAAACAGTAAAACCATCAAATTCAGTGCCCCATATCATCATTTAAGTTACCCACTCTGTGCTGAAAATAAATCCTAACATTTCAGGAAGTGCTGACATATTAAATATATTGTGATATTGTGGTTTTAGCAGGCTAACGTTAGCTAAGGTTAGCTTGCTTGTTAACATGGATGAAATGTTAGCTAACCAACATAGCAAAATACTTTATTGAATCATTAACATCTTTCTATTTATCCAGACTCCAGACTTGGTAAGATCGGTATCTTGTAGTTTGCAAATTACTTTATCAGCTAATGTTACGAAGCAATGAACACCAGATAAATGCAGCCTAGCATAGTTGCAGCTAGCTCTCTACTTTAGCTTGCTTGCTCTCTAATGTTATCGCTAGCAAAATCATATATTTTAATAATAACTAGATACCGGGTGCCAAGATAGAACCTATGCATGCTAGCAGAGTTGCTCACCTTATGCATACGCCAAAAAGTTTTCTAGCTTCCAGGTTTACTTCCATGGTATGCAACCCAAGTAGTGTTTCTCCTGCTAGCCTTGTCCACCAGTTCCCACTCTTTTCATAGACTTTACATTGTGATGGGATCTTGCCTGCAGGTGATTTAAAGGTCTCTGCGAGAGGTGTCACTAAACACAAGGATTTTCTGAAAGTTACATACAGAACCTTTAAGCAGACTTCAACATGCAGTCTGGCTCAAAGTCATTGTTATATTTCTGGAGTATCTACTGGAGAGTGATGAAGAGGCGAATGATAGTGCCAAATAAAGAAGCTGTTGCTTGGAAACAGCTTCTTCTTCTTTTAAGTTTATATTTCCTTTCAAGCCTGTTAGAGTCCAGGCACACCACTCAGCTCTCCCCCTCATAGCTGAACTCACCTGTTCATTGACACATTTGCTTCTTCTGGATATTTCGGTTGTCTTTTTGGTAACAACAGAAATGACACTCATCTGAAGGCTGCCCGCAAAAAGCTTCCTCTCTGCTCTTGTGCTCCTGCGCATGTGTAAACAAAGGAGTATTATTAACTGTTAGGTGAAGTTAGGGCTCTTGTGTTTTTTGTCGTGTGCCTTTTTCTGTCCAGGTTTGGCGTATCTGTCTGTCCTCACTATCACTTTCATGTGTTGCTTTTACGCATTGTGTGATTTTTTGACATTTGTCTGACATTTGTGTGTTGTTTTGCAGTGTTTGTGTGTGTGTGTGTGTGTGTCTGTCGTATATGTAGTGTAGTAACATCCCAACTCCTCCTCTCCCTCCCCTCCACACCTTTAGACCGTACCCATGGGTGTTCCTCCTTTTATGGGGACTCACCCCAGCTTCAGCATGGTAAGACCACCAGCCCAGTAAGGTCTGGTAATGTCACCTGACCCAGTCTGGACATTACAGGACATTGATGGACAATTATCCATTTAGGTGGCCCTCACACCCATCAGATGGCCGACACTGTGTCTTACTGTCTCTTTTTCTTTTTCCCTCCGTCTGTCTCTGTAAGCCCGGGGCACCAGGAGCTCCCATGATGCCCATGGTGAGGCCAGGCTTTCCTGCGACTGGGGCGACCCCCGGAGCACCGGTAACACACTCACTCTTATATTGATTATACACACTCGTAAACATGAAGGTCACAGTCGCTTGATAAAAGGAGTTTAAGTGCTAAATGTAGATGTGTCTGCAGATGTCTCCTGGAGCAGCCCAGAGCCCCAGAAAGCCTCCACCACCGAGGAACGCTCTGGATGACCTCAACATTAAGGACTTCATGTAGACTGACTGACCTGTAAACCCCCAAGGTATGAAGAAAGCCGCCGCTTAAAGAATTGAGATGGATTCTTATCGTCTGTCATGTCATAGCAAAGATTATGGAGCAGAATCCTCTGTTGCACCAGGAAACATTAGCCACATGTGAGCTATGTTTAATCCTGTAGTCTTGGCCAGCTAATGCGCCTTGAATGTGACATTTGAAGAAAAATATGAAGTGTCACAGGATGATTAAAGGTAGTGACGTTTCTCCTTTAATTCCTGTGAAATACTGGATACTCTCACCTCTTCAGGCCTTTAAAACAATGAGTCCTACAACCCATACATTGTTTCTTTGCTCCATGTGGTTTGGTCCTAACTCTTAATATGACTCACAGGAGCATTTTCTAGCAGGAGAGCAACACAAAAATAACACATGTTAACAGTTACCGTTTTCAACATGTGGTTCATGTTGTGAAATGGTCACAGTTGGGTTTAGGAAAGGTCACAGTTTGGGTCATAGACTGTACATAAAGATGGACGACATGACAGCTTCTGAAAAGTGAAGCCAAAACATCTCAGTCGCCTCCTAGTTGCTGGCTGCAGTACAGGTTATAAACTCCGTCCCCCTCTATGTTAGCAGATGGGACATAGGCCAAACTAAAAACTCAAAGTACACATTGAATAAAATTTCTCGAAGATGGTTTCCATCATTTTATGTAGGTCCTATCACACTGATGTTTGTTTTTTCTGATAAGTTTGCTATTATTAGTAAGTTGATGCCATAAAAAGGGGATGTGAAGTCAGGATTGACAGCTCGTGATTGGTTTGACAGTCATATCTGGGATATATTGGCTTTATTTTGTACAGTCAGAAAGTGGAGACGCATTGTCCATCTTTATATACAAATATTGGTTTGGGTTAAATAAAGTATGTTGTTACAGAACTTCAGCTATGTAGGATCATACACAGACCTATGTAACGTGATGTGAACTAAGTACGATTATATATAGAATTATAAAATAACTCAACGCTGACTTTTGGACTTTTGGTTTAACATGGGACATGAACAGTGGTCTTATGGGTCAAAGTCCTGTGTCTTCCCCGACCGTCTTCCCATGCACTTTGTCACTCTTTGTACTCATCATCTTACTTCCTCCTATGCTCCCACCATAATACTTACGGTCAGTAGAGGTCGCCGCCTTACAATAAATGTCAACATAGATCATAAAAAGCTGCTAGAACAAACGATCTATGTGGTTGTGTTTTGGGGGATGGCGGTCTCCTTTAAAAATACTGCAAATTATTAATCTCAGAAAGGAAGCGTATTTTTAGTTGAACTGCTCACAACATATGTCCACATCAAAGACAGGAGCTGTGACAAGAACACAAGTAGACATCCTCTTGATTTAAAGTTTACTTATCATAAGTAGCACTAACAGGGACATAGGATTTGTTCAACACTGGGGGGGGACACGTATGAAACGGGGTTTAGGGGTTCCCCGCCAGAAAAGTTTGAGTGCAAAACCATATCTAGCATTCAGGTGATTTTTATGCTCCAATTTTTGCCTTTTCTGCAACAATTTATGGTGAAAATGTCTTTAATTTTTGTTTCCCCTGCACCTTTTCTGAATTCTAAACCTATGAGTGCTCAACCTGTGAAAACAGTTGCATAATGTGTACTGCGACTCTGTAGGGAGCTTTGTCAAGTCTGAGAGGATAACATCATAGTGCTGAAATACAGGATCCAGCTTGGCCCTAACTACTGACTAAAAGTCAAGATGTCTGCTTTAGGGGTGTAGCTGTGTACCAATATTGATGATAAACGTGATTTTTAAAAAACAAAATATTGATATAATGTTAGTCATACACATATGATAATATCGTATAAATAATACAGTGCCACTCAAATCATTTCCATTTCTTTCTGTTCTCACATTGTTTCCCGTCACCATCTGGTGCCTTTTCACTGTCCATTAAGTGTAACTGCTCCTCTCTTTGTGCAATATTGTGAAGTTATGGTTATAGACTGTCTCTTCATCTCCCTACACTTGTATTTTGAGCATAATTTATTTACCAAAAAAAGAGGGGGAAAAAAACACAATGAATAAAGTTAAAGATGAATTTGGCTGATTGTTGTTGTGAACTCTTTTGGCCGCAGTAATCGTGTGGTGAAAATCTGATATCGTATCGTCCTAATCTGCGTCAGTGTTGAACATTCCCTGTGTCTCTGTCTCTGGAAGCCCTGATTCTCCCTCTCTGTCTCACCTGTCAGAGCATATATAATTAGACTTCACCTATTTCTGTTGAGAGCACTTGCTTTAATTAAATCTTCTCTCTCTCCGTCCTCTGCAGGTTTGTCATCGTGTCTGGAGCTCTGTGGATGTGGATGTCTGCACTCCCCCCACTGCCTTCCCCTCAGTCATGCCCTCAGCCCCCCCCCCCCCATCTCAGCCAACCAGCCATTACATCTGCGATCTCTGCCCTCTGACCTCCTACCAACCCCCCCTCCTAAAATAAAACCTGCCCTCCTTATCTAATGTTGTAGCACAACTGTGAATGTGAACCCTAGATACAGAAAAACAAAACTCCGTTTATGTGTGTGTGGGTGTGTGTGTAACTCAGTGTTAACCTTTACTTAATATACTACGGAAAAACGAACAAAAAAAATAAATAAATGTGTATTTAGATTCATTCTGGATTTCCGCGTATCAGCTGACTTGGAATGGTGGATAAATGTTGGTTTCTTTGCGCATCTCCCAGACGAGGACTGTGTTGTTTAAATGTGGACTGTGTTCGGTGTGTGTAACTTCACTGGCCAACCCCGACTCCCACTCCTCCACCCCCCCCGTTGTCCAAAAACTAATACTGAGCTATGTTTATGTCATTAAAAACTTGGTTGTACCTATATCTGCTCGGCCATCCATCCTCCCACGTGTCTACTTCCAACAAAATGTACCTGAAAACAACTTGCGATCGAATCTGGACTTATCATCGAACACATCAAGTTGTGTTCAGTTTCATTTTTACTTTTGTTTTTTTTAGGGATCGTGTGAAACATGCAAAAATTTGTGAACTGTGTTCGAATTGACATATGCATTTTAGACTGTTTTAAATGTTAGATTATTTTCTTTATTCTTTATTTTGTGAGAAAAAATGTATCATATATTTTTAGTTAAATTATAAGGTTGAAATAAGGCAAGTAGACTTTAAAAAAAAATCCCCGCCTTCTTTGTACATACCTCTCAATCTGTAATCAGAGGCAGTATTGAATGGAAACTTCGCCCCGAGTGTTTACTGTTGCGCCCCCAGCTGGTGTGGAGTGATACTGCATCGTAGCATGCGACAGGTCAATCTGGGATGCATCAAACTCTCAGAGAGGTCCTTCCTCCACATAAGACGTTAAGGGAAGGAAGTGTTTGTGTATGTGATTGGGATGTGGCTTCTGTCCTCTCTGCAGCAGCGCTCGGTACATTTGTTCACGTGCTGCAGGTCTGGAGGACTCTCACTGTAAAGCACTCAAGTATACGCTGGATGTTCTGTGTGTTGTTTATTTCCAAAAGTGACTGTATCTTAATCCATTGTGGCAAGTGTTGAAAGAAAAATAAAGATGACTACGACACGTTTAAAAAAAAACAAAAAAAACAATAAGAATGTGGATAAATAATGTTTGCTAAGTATTCAACATGAAGGCTGTGTTGTTTTTCTTTGGGTTATTATGGATGGCATCGTTCTTTCTCCCTCACCCCCACCTGCATGTGAGTCCAAATGAGATGCAATAAAAGACAAATACACTGATCCAAACGACCCTCACGGCTCATCACTGATCTTTGCTCTACTTGTTTGAAAACTCAACATTTTTATTTGTTATCAGCATGAAATATTTTAAAAAGAAAGTGTGTTTGTGGCATGAACATTTCAGTTCAGTAACAGATAAAATTACAATTCAAGATGCTGTAAAACTTCAATTCATAGCCCGGGCTATTTACTTAAATCACTGAAATCAACAGGCCCATATATGGGACAGGCCTTTAATTTCTTTCACACAAACCTTGCTCAGCAATCAGTCCCTCCAGGATCTCCCGGCCAAAAACCTTTGAATTTGCAGCCAATTTTGTCAAAAATTGCGATAAAAATTGTGGGGTTTTTGTTGTTTTTTATGTGATTTTTTTTTTCAATTACTACCTTGCTATAATAATCATACTGAATATTACAAAAATAGCTGCAAATGTTTTTTATAGTTCTCTTCTTTAGTTTTATTTAATTAGTTTCAAAACATGGACTCCAATAATGTTGCAAAAAATCCTGAGTGAATATTGTAGCTCTCAAACCAGACAATGTGACTGTAAAACAACATGTAAGCTACGTCTTCTGTAAACAACATTTTTATCGCAGTTTTTTGCGTGAAATTGCGGCAAATCACAAAAAAGCTCAGGAAATGATCGGGAAATACAATCATATGAATATTGTATGAAAATTAGGTTTCAGATAATATATCAATTATGAATCATTAATTTGATCTATCTCCGACAGACAGCACATCAAAGAGAGAGTGAGTTATGGCACAGCACCCAGCACACCGACACAACACCACAATCCTCACAACTTGGATTAATTTTTATGAAAAACCCTTTTGATTCTTTTGATCCAAGGACCCCTATGGACTAAAGGAATATGAATAACTTACAGGATAATGGAGGAATGGACACATAATTTGAGGTAGTCAACAACCTGCTTTTATAAATCCAAAGAACTTCTATTAAAAAAGAAAGAACTGCTTGGCAACCAGACCAGGTGTCTAATTGAGACAGGCCTTTATTTGTGAAAATGTGTAGCCGCGGGCCAGAAAAAAGGGCTAGGTGTTGAAGTTTTGTAGTATTTTAAATATCAGAAAATAAATATATATTTTTGATAAAGATATATTGATGATTTTTGATAAAGATATATTATATGACGGTCCCTTGTGCACGCTATTGTGCACATATCATCTTATCACGTTAAAAAATTTGACATGGGATAACATCAATATACATATTATCTAGCAATCGTCATTGCACATCGGTATCTAACCAAAAATACCAAAGAAAATAAGAAACCAAGAATTTATTTATTTAACTTACCAATTTTAATAGCTAATTTATACTCAAAGAATAATTGATTTATAGATTATTTACAGTTACAGTCAGGTCCATAATTATTTGGACAATGATACAGTTGTCGTCATTTTGGCTCTGTACACCACCACAATGGGTTTTAAATGAAACAATGAATACCTGCTTAAAGTGCAGACTCTCAGCTTTCATTTAAGGCTTTTTTCAAAAATGTAGTATGAACCGTGTAGGAATTACAACCATTTCTTCACACAGTCCCCCAACTTTAAGGGCTCATAAGTATTTGGACAAACTAACATAATCATCAATTAAACAGTCAGTTTTAATACTTGGTTGCAAATCCTTTACAGTCAATGACTGCCTGAAGTGTTGGACACATAGGCATCATCAGATGCTGGGTTTCTTCCCTGGTGATGCTCTGCCAGCCCTTTACTGCAGCCGTCTGCACTTCCTGCTTGTGTTTTGGGTGTTTTGCCCTCAGTTTTGGCTTCAGCAAGAGAAACGCATGCTCAGTTGGATTCAGGTCAGATGATATGACTTGGCCATTGCAGAACATTCCACTTCTTTGCCTTAAAAATGTCTTTGGTTGCTTTTGCAGTATGCTTCAGGTCAATGTCCATCTGCACTGTGAAGCATCGTCCAATGAGTTTTGAAGCATTTGGTTGAATCTGAGCAGATAATGGTGCCCCAAACACTTCAGCTTTCATCCTGCTGCTCTTGTCAGCAGTCACATCATCAATAAATACAAGAGAACCAGTTCCACTGGCAGCCATACATGGCCATGACATAACAGTACCTCCACCATGCTTCACTGATGAGGTGGTGTGCTTTGGATCATGAGCAGTTCCTTCCCTTCTTCCTTCTCTTGTCTTCCCATCATTCTGGTAGTTGATCTTTGTTTTATCTGTCCATAGTATGCTGTTCCACAACTGTACAGGCTTTTTAGATGGTTTTTGACAAACTCTAATCTGGCCTTCCATTTTTAAGGCTAACCAATGGTTTGCATCTTGTGATAAACCCTCTGTATTTATTCTAGTGAAGTCTTGTCTTGCTTACAAGAGCAGCAGGATGAAAGCTGAAGTGTTTGGGGCACCATTATCTGCTCAGATTCAACCAAATGCTTCAAAACTCATTGGACGATGCTTCACAGTGCAGATGGACATTGACCTGAAGCATACTGCAAAAGCAACCAAAGACATTTTTAAGGCAAAGAAGTGGAATGTTCTGCAATGGCCAAGTCATATCATCTGACCTGAATCCAACTGAGCATGCGTTTCTCTTGCTGAAGCCAAAACTGAGGGCAAAACACCCAAAACACAAGCAGGAAGTGCAGACGGCTGCAGTAAAGGGCTGGCAGAGCATCACCAGGGAAGAAACCCAGCATCTGATGATGCCTATGTGTCCAACACTTCAGGCAGTCATTGACTGTAAAGGATTTGCAACCAAGTATTAAAACTGACTGTTTAATTGATGATTATGTTAGTTTGTCCAAATACTTATGAGCCCTTAAAGTCGGGGGACTGTGTGAAGAAATGGTTGTAATTCCTACACGGTTCATACTACATTTTTGAAAAAAGCCTTAAATGAAAGCTGAGAGTCTGCACTTTAAGCAGGTATTCATTGTTTCATTTAAAACCCATTGTGGTGGTGTACAGAGCCAAAATGACGACAACTGTATCATTGTCCAAATAATTATGGACCTGACTGTATATAATAAGTTTGTTATTGATGCTTTTGGCTATTTTATAAATAAATAAATAAACATGATGGAGATGGGTTTGCCTTTTTCAGGGACATAAATATCAAATGGCATTGTTTTTGATTTAAGTGGAGTTCTTCTTTGAGGACAGGCATATTTTTAAGGTGGCAATCACTCATAATTCTCATAATTCTCCACCCAACGCATTGTTGGGGGGCCCACTCACACCTCACAGGCCCCAGTGTAACCGCACTGCCTGCACTGTCTGTATTTATGCCCCTGGTCCCATGCATAAACGTTACCAAGTGTTAAGACTTGGACTCCGTCATAGTCATGTGCATTCGTCTCCCCCAATAAAAACATGATGTCATAGCAAAGGACTTTTATTTTTACAAAAGTAAAGACATTTCCACCATAAATTGATGCAGAAAAGGTGAAAAGTGATGCAGAAAAACAACATAATGCATAAAATTAGGTGTTTGGCACTCAAAATTTTCTGGGGCAGGACCCCAAACCCTTGTGTGTTTCATATGTGTCCCCTTAATGCTGATAGAAAACCCACATCCTCGGTCTCAGTTATTATTTCAGACAGCTCCAGGGGTCTCCTACTTTAGTAATGAGAGACCAGCAGTGGCTACACGTTTCCATATTTTGGAAATACATGATGATAAATTAATAAAAGATACATCTGACCTGACACCCACACTCATTTACAACATTAAAAACTTCATAACATGATGGTGATGATGTGCTGTTTCATTTGGGAAGAAAAGGAAACAAACATATTGATTCACATACAAACATTTCATGAGCATGACTTAAATCTTTTTCAAATATCCCAGACAGCATATATTAATATTGTCATTATATGTTTTTGCAATATGTTGAAGCATATTTAATGTTGGACACAACAGATTTAATCATACAAAGGTGTGTTTGAAGCCGTGACTCATAACCTCTGGAGGCAGGAGGAAGTGCATTTTTGGAAGACATGATTGTAGTCCTTGACAACACTGCAGTCTGCACTCAATTCTGCTATTTACATTGTATTTTAAACATGCCCAGTATCTGATTCCAGTGTGAACTGGTCACAGTCCTGAACTGACATGCATGTGCAAAACAAAAGCAACTCAGATGTCACACACAGCAGAAAGATGGAGGCCACTCATGTCAGCATTTAGGGTTTCATTATATGTTGGTGTGCAGTGGAAGCAAGTGAATTTGTGAGCAGATGATGAACAAGGAAAGAGAGACAAATTTCTAATGATTGCTTTTTTGAGAAGAAATGGCTGCTACTTCTGTGCTGAGGTGTGTGTGTGGATGCAGTCTCAGAGCCAGGGCACAAGGTGATTTTACTAAGTAGGACATGCTCCTGGATCAACTACCCACATCACGTTCCTGGACCAACACTGCAATCAACCAATCACAGCCCTCTGTCATCATCAGTGTGCTGCCCCTGGGCTTCTTTCAAAATTCCTTTGTGTCTCTTCAGTTTCCCAACTTGAAGTTAAAACCATTGAACAAAATCTTTAGAATCATTAAAGGGTTAGGAAGTTATCGTGCTAACTAGGAAGGCTATGCTAACAAGTAAGCTTGCCAATAGGCTAGAATATTGTTCACTATCAAAGAGCGTAGATAATATCATTTTCAGTTGCAAATTGCTACGATTAACACATTTTCCCTCCAGTGTTGATCCTGGATTGATTTGGTTAGGTTTATCCAGGACCATCATCATCACCACCATGCTGATTATGGATAATCCAGGGTCAACATGTCAACACAAGCACTGCAATCAACACAAGCACTGCAATCTTGTAAAAAAAAGTTTTGAATAGGCTATGAAGAAGGAGGGAAATGTGTCCTTCGCAGTTCAACTGCAAAATTACATTTTCCTTATTCTTAATGTTAATAAACAATGTTTTAGCCTCACTGGCAACCTTACTTGTTAGCATAGACTACCTACTTAGCAAGCTAACTTGCTAATATTCTAGCCGATTGGCAAGTTTACTTGTTAGCGTTGCCTACCTGGTTATCAAGCTAACATGCTAACATTTTAGCCTGTTGGCAAGCTTTCTTGATAGCGTAGACTACCTACTTAGCAAGCTAACTTGCTAATATTCTAGCCGATTGGCAAGTTTACTTGTTAGCGTTGCCTACCTGGTTATCAAGCTAACATGCTAACATTTTAGCCTGTTGGCAAGCTTTCTTGATAGTGTAGACTACCTACTTAGCAGGCTAACTCGCCAACATTTTAGCTTATTGGTAAGCTTACTTGTAAGCATAGCCCATTTAGTTAGCAAACTAACTTGCTGATGTTCTAGCCTATTGGCAAGCTTACTTATTAGCATAGCCAACCAAGTTAGCAAGCTAATTTGCTGATATTCTAGCATATTGGCAAGCTTACCTGTTAGCATAGCCTAGTTAGAAACCAAATTCTCTGATATACTAGCTTATTGGCAAGCCTAATTAGCATAACCTACCTAGTTAGCAAGCTAACTTGATAATATTCTAGCCTATTGGCAAGTTTACTTGTTAGAAAGCTAACTCACTAACCCTGCAGTAGCTCATAATATATTTGTTCAATGATATTGAGGATTTTCTTCAACTTTATTAACTTCATTTTGGAAAACTAGCTTAGCTCTGAAGAAGCACAAAGGAAATTTGAAAGAAGCACAGCTGTGATTGTTTGTCGTGCTGGTCCAGGAAGGCGATGTGGGATGTTGATCCAGGAGCATGTTTTACAAAAACATCACCTCATGCTGGAGCCAGGAGTGGTGGGATCTTGACGTGAATGGCTTTACTGAAAAAGATTTTGCCTATTAAGGGGTACTTTTAACTACATCTGTAAGCGCCTCATCTGTAGGTGACATAACTGAACTTCGATATGGCTGTGTACAACAAGGCCACATTGCCAAAAATCAGACCTGTATCTGATTTTGAACCACATATGAAAGTGGCCCAAATCAGAGTTGAAAGATCAGACTCCATATGATTTGTGCTACTCACACTGTAATGAAAAACCCAGATCTGATTCACATATCAGAAAAAAATAAATCAGATTGGGACATTTTTGCCGGCAGTCTGGACGCAGCCTTACACTATGCTACTAGTTACTTTTGACTTATTTGTACAAAGCATCTAAGTCCTACTCTTTACATTAAAACATCAACACATAAGTCAAAGTTTAGGACCACTCCTATGATTTTGTTTGTTTGTTTTATACACAGACCCAGATGTTTGAGTCTCTCTGAAACTGAACCTTTTTCAAGGTCCATCTCTTTGCAGTCAAACCTCTTTGCAGAGATGTGGATCTCCATGGATCCAGTGACAGATCTGAGCGTATTTAGGTGGAGTAATTCTCACTGCAACATTAAAGTCCCTCTGCTCGCCCCCATCCGCCTCCACCCATTGATGGCCTGAAAACACCCCAATCACCCTCCGCTGCCACTTCCCTTTCCTGCCTTCCTCTCCTGCTTCCTGTCTCAGACGAACATAAACGCCTGCGCCTGTGGCGCCCGGCTGTGCATCGCAGTGCTGGTACATCAAATCCTCTGACTCGTTTGCCACCGAACAAAACCGATAAACCACCTTCTCGTCTCCACGCCCGTCCAGCAGGCTTTTGTCAACGTCGTAGCCTGAGAAGTGGATCCGTGCTGGGAGGGTGGCGGAGGGTGCCACTCCCAGCTCCATGTACTTTTGCTTGAGGGGTCGTTTCAGCTCCAGGAGGGCGTAGTCGTAGTCGGGGGACACTGAGTTGGTGGAGCTCTTGGTTTGAATCCATCCTTGGGGGATTTGGGTTTGTTTGACTCGTGTCCAACGGAAGACAGGCTGCTTCCTGGGTTCGCTACGTCGTATACGGCGTCTTCGTTTCCCTTTTCTCTCTGACTCACCCATATTCCCACGATCAGCTGCACCCTCCTCACCCTCTCTTCTTCCTCTGCGCCTCCTGCCTTTGCCTCCCTTTCTCCCTCTCCCCACATCTCCATCTATACTATTCTGCTCCTCACCTTCCTCTATCACCTGCTCCTCATCCTCTCCTCTCCTCCCACCCATCTGCTGCCCTCCTCTCCTTCTACCCCCTCTTCTTCTCTTACTCTTGAGCTGCAGCACCCCTACTCTCAGCCTCCTGACACTCGCTAGGTAGTCCTTCCCATCATGGATGCAGCGTGCTGCCGTTAGCACGTGTTTCTGGGATACCAGGACTCCGGAGCAGCCCGAGGAGAGACGAACAGCGGTGGAGAAAGGGTAGTTGGTGATGAAGTGTGAGTCAGAGATCACAAAGCGTCCATCTGCTCCATAAACCTGTCGTTTCCTGCGGGTGCGAGCTGGTGGGCGGGCCGGTACTCCTGCAGACGTCGTGTTGAAACCCCACAAACTGATATCTGTGTGCGTGCGGGTGCCGTTCTCATACATTGTCTCGTATCCCAGAATCCTCTCTTGCTCATCCTGGTCTACAGGTGGCAGGCTGCTTTGACACTCTATTCCACAGAGTGTCTTCGCCCCTCCTCCGTCCTCATCCTCCTCCTGCCCTCTGAACAAAGGCACATTCAAAGGCTCAGTGTGTGTGTCCAGCAGCAGCGGGAGGCTCTGCCTGGTCCACCTGTACACCTTGCTGTTCTCATCTTTACCAAAAACTCCAAGTGTCAGAGTTGCTGCGCAGAGCAGCACACACAGGAAGCAACTGGCTCCCATCCCGCTGAAAAGAAAGAGACACAAGTTAGTGTTTGAGCAGGAGTCTTCAACCCTTCTCAGGCCAAGGACCCCTTAGCTGAAAAAGGCTCTAACACATTCTCACTCCAACCTTGTCACATATTGACATTTGGTCATGGACTTTCCATGTCCACATACGACATGCAAGGTACCCTGGGTGCATTGGTTGTTGACACTCTGAGACGTCATGTCAAGTTCTTTTCTCAGGAAATTTAATGTTTACATACAGTCTCTTTATAAATAAACTCACATTTGTCGGTACAAGACCACAAATTACAAATAACAGGGTTTGGTTTTAGAATCTTACAGGATGCTAACACTGCTCTCTTGGGTGAAAGTTGCCATTTGTTGGTCCTCCATATTGAGTTTCAGGTGCTTCCATCAGGTCGGGGGTTTTGCCTCCGTGTGTGACACTGGATTCTGTGTGTTTGCATTGTACTCTCTGTTTTGTTGTACTCATGACTACTGTGTGTATCCCAAATTGCCCCTCGGGGTCATTAAAGTTCTCCTTACCTTACCTTATGTTGGATTCATGTTAATGTGTATCTTCCGACATATCCGATGAAAAGAAAAAACAAAAAACAAAAATAAAACTACCAAACAAATACAAAAACGGACCCCCTGCAGTTACTCTGAGGTCCCCCTGGGGTTGTGGACTCCCTGTTGAAGACCCAGGTGTTAAAGAAAAATGCCATGGATCCAAATCTCTGAACATCCATTACTTTTTAATCAGGCCAAGAGGAAAATACTATGCATGTTCCCAGTATTTGGGAGTAGTAAACTACATGTAATTAAACTAGTAGTTCAACTACATTCAGATTTGCACAGTGATTGAAGAAGATAAATTAGTTTTTTGCCATTTTCTGTGCGGTTAAGTACAGAAACTACTGTACAAACAATTCTGGGCCATAAAAGGAAAGGAATGATTTTTCTGTTTAGATTTTCACCATTGCCATGAATAGTGGTATTTCAATTACTTTTTAGATATTAATTATTTTATTAATATTATTTTCCTTTGTTTAAGTATGACCTGTGAGCAATAAACTCGATTAAGTGTTTTTTTTTAACTTCACTGCATGTTCCCATAGCTCCTACTAGTAGCATTGATGTAGCTTTTATATACCATATGACCAGCAGAGGGCGCACGAGCTCAATTTCTAAACAATAAACCCCTGAGCACCGAAGTGCAGCTGTGATATTTAACTATAAAATACGCTGTCTGCAGTTCAAATTCATAGCTTAAAATGCAGAAAATGTTATTGTTATTACATGCAACATTCTTTCAGTGACACAAAGAAAAGTTTTAACACGAGTACTGACTGTTTTTTTAAAGTCTGATATTATTTTATTAGCCTCAAAGAGTTAGAAAAGAAGTCTGAAACTAAAGATAATTAAGAATCAGTGTTTTGAAAAAATAAAAGAATAATAAAATGCAGGACAGAACATAGCCTTTCTAAACATTAAAAGGAACGATGGTGATTTTATTTTGAAAAAAAAGTCATGACATAGCTACAAATGCCTTAAACTGTTCCTACCTGCAAACATAAAACAGAAACACCCCCAAAAGTTGCAGCAAAATGTCTCCTTCTCATCAATAAAAAATCCTCTCCATCCAAACGGCTTCCAGCAGACTGGCTCCCATCATTCACTAAAAAAAACTGGAGCGAGGAGAAGCTGTGAGAGATCCTCATAAAAACCTACATCCCACTCTGCTGCAGAAAAAAGCGACGGGCAGACAGGCAGACAGGGGGAGGCAGCCAGGAGGGGGCAAGCATGACTGAAGTTTTTGATCATGTGATGACATGACATTTTGGGTCAAAAGTGGAACCATGTGGAGAGAATTTGGGGTGTTTTTTTCTCCTCAGATTCCACAAATATTTTGATTACGTCGGGAAGAGGCAGAGGACAGTGAGGCTTTCAATGGGAGGAAATTAATTTAGATGTTAAAGCTATTTACAGAGACCTGCCCACAAAATGTTGCCTTTGAGTGTGTGTTCATCCGGTGCGTTTGCGGTCAAAAATGAAAGTTTCGATTTATATCAGGTGACGTTTGAAGTGTTTCCACACACACACACACACACACCTCTCATGGAACCTGTGTTTTAACCCCTGTTGGTTTATTTTGACAAGTGTCTCTCTACTCGGTGCAACAAGAGTTCATTCAGAGTAGGAACGCCTCCTTTTTCCCTGATTAGATGTAACACCAACATACAAACATACACCTACACACACACACACACACACACACACACACACACACACACACACAATTATTAGTTATCAAACTGATGATGCTATCTGAATGTTTGGCTAACAAAATAGTTAAAAAAGTGAAGATGTAATGTTCATCCTTGGCCCTTGGGCGCAGCGGTCGAGGAGACATGTACACCTGCAGACACATTCAGTTTGTAGTGTACAGGACACGACTCTACAAACTGCAGCCACCACTAGTAGGCTACAAGACAAACCCACCAACGCAACAGTTAACTGGACCCTGCTGCAATGCTACACTGTAGTGAACAGATGAGACCAATGCTGTGTCTCAAATTGCGTACTTCTGTTACACTTCTATGTAGTATACTATGTACTTACTGGTGTAGTGCGCGAATTTCGACAGGGTAGTGTTGTCTCAAACCAAACATGGCCGTTGTGCACTTACCGCAAAAGACAACCGCGGCTGTAAGCTAGTTCGCAAACTAGCATTAGCATTCACGTTATCGTTCGCGGTACCAAATCATTACGGACTGCAAAACCCAATAAACATACTGCTGGCTTATACCCAACAACAGTATAGTGGTAACCTTGAAATCTAGATGCCCCGCCCCTAGCAAATTCGAATTTGCTCTGCACGGGGATATGGCCCCGACGAGCAGAGCCTGTTAAATCGCCATTGGACCAATCAGATCAGTCTATCTGACAGAGGCGGGGTCTGGGTGGGCCTAACATGATGACGACAGCGCTACGCCGCAACAGTCTAAAAGTAAACAGCCAAGATGGCAGCTGCCAAAGGACCGCGTCCATTCAGTTTAGCTTTGGAAGAAACGCTAAGCCAACTACACTTATCTTTTTCCTTGAGAAAGGAACAGAAGACTGCCCTAGAAGCATTCCCTTCCAGGAAGGACGTTTTTGCCATTTTGCCGACAGGATATGGCAAAAGCATAATCAGTTAGCCCCACTGGTCAGCAAACCAATGGGGCTTACTGCAATGAATACGTCACATTGTTTTTTGCTCTGATTGGCTATCGTGCTATCCAGCTGCGTGCGGCGGCATTTAATCAGAGATATTGGATGAAGGGAGATACCAACTGTAGGCTTATCCAATGTTAAGAAAACGGTTACTCTTCCTGTCTCCTAAGTGGGCGTGGTTAGCTCTCCCTCCAATCAGAGCCTGTTCTCCCTCAACCCCCCTCCCCACCACCGTGTTGAACAGAGGCTCTGTGGATGTCTGTGTATGCGGATCGAGAAGCAGGTGGAATGAAAATACATTCTTCCTATTATTGCAGCCTATTGTTGCACAAAGCTTGGGCATTTTTTATTTATTACTAGCTGTAAATAACTGTTTGTAAACTAACTGTGATTTTACCGCCTGTTTATCAAGATCACGAGATCTCGCGAGAACTTGTTTTCTGAGACGGACAGGGCTCAAACAAAGTTAACTTTCTCTTGTTCTGTGCGGATGAAAAATGCAGCTTTAGTGTCAGAATATTGGGAAGATGTGTGGCTTGTGGAAAATGAACCCAATATTTACTTTAGTGACTACTGGGCGAAAGAATTGACCATAAATTGTGATCACGTTCATTTTCCTCATTGACGACAATACATTCAGAGCTGCCGCAAGTCTCCTACGGGGGCGTGGCGCTGACGTCACTGAATCAGGAAGTGAGCTGAGTTGGGTATCTCGCTTCATCCAGTATCTCTGATTTAATATGTCTTAGTGTCGCCCCTTGGGTAGGAAGGGTGTAACGATGAAGGCCAGACTCAAAATCTTTCTAGATTTCAGTCTGGACTTCCAGGCTAGTATAGTGGTGCTTAGCGCAAAAATACGTATATCTGTACAATGCAGCGACATTCACGGTTGCACAGTCCTCAGCCGCCATTTCCAGTTTAAAAAAGTGGTCCCTCCCCTTCCGCTACGTAGCCAAGATGGCGACCATTGAGGGCGAGAAGTGTCCATAGTTCCACACTCAACTTCTTGACCGTTTTAAGTGAACCACCCGGGTACTCATAGTGCACTGCATTTTTCCATACTTCTCAGTGTGCACTTATGCACTCAAAATATTAAGGCTAAGTACAGAAGTACGCGATTTAAGACACAGCATAAATGTAGCAATAATCCACTTTATAAGTCATAATACATTGAGACACGGTTCACTTTATGAGTACCAAGATGTAACCCAGATAGCACACATACATCTGGCCGACGTCGGCCCGATGTATCAAGTTTAGATTGTTAAGACGTAGCAGGAAGAGCGTTTGCTCATTGCCAAGACGTGCCAAATGACCACCACGCGACGTTCAAAGGATCAATAAAATAAGCTGCGCTTAGTGGGCGCTCCTTCATTAATATTCATATGCTTCGTCAACTACGACCTTTATTCATTTAGGTCGGACCTTTCAAACTACAAATATTTCACCATCCAATGTGAGAAATCAGTGCTAACATTCAAAAATAGCTGACTGTTACCCTATTTCGTGTGTAAGTGTGCACAATGAAGAGACAAAAGTCAATTTGACAAACTTTATTTTCAAATTTCCACAAACAATATCTGACGGCCAGTCCGCTTCTCCTGGCAGCCTGCAAGACACAGAAAAGACGATGAGCACATAACTTCAAGAAACAAATCCCAACTTCACCACTGTATTTTTTTTTTTAGCATTTCAGCTGTCTTTTAGCCAGATTGAAGGCTTTGGGTCCATCACTCTGCTTAATTTAGTGTTGAAACGGTTAAATAACGGGATCCGTTAACTCCGTTAACTGTTAACAGCAGCTCAACAATCAGTCCTTCATCTCGGAAAAACTGTGGTTTCAAAAATGCTCTATTACCTGTAGCCACCGGGTCAGTTTGCTTTGCAGAGGAGGAGACCTCGACTGATAAATTGCCCATAAAATCACATTAACAACATACTGAAGGCATCCTTAAACTTCACTATTTCACCTCCGCGCTCCTCTCTGCTGGTCTCACCGACACTTCAGCACCCGTTCTGGGATACACAGTGTCGGCCCGCCCCGCCTGACCTCCGTGCTCCTCTCCGCTCCTCTCCCAGACACTTGAGCACACGTCCAGGGCCCCGGGGGGGCCGGGGGGCCGCGGGACCACGGGTGGCAGCTCCAGGCACTTCCACTTTAACCCAAAACGAGTGCTCACGATAACCTGATGAGCAGATAACGTCAACTAGGGAAAATAAAATGAAAACACCACAGTTGTAGCCTGTTAGCATAACATGAGCTAAACCGCTAAACTAGCTAACAGCTAACGAAAGATAACGTTAGTTGGTGGGGACATGTGCTAAGCTATATACACCCAGTCGTGCCTCGCCACTCACGAACCTCTTTTAACGGTCACAGAAGAAACAACAAAGCTATTTTCTGCCAGTTTATTCCAGTTAGCTTACCTGAAACCAACTGCGATGAGATGCTGTGTGCTGCGAGCTCAGTTTCAAGCAAACACCGCAGAGATGAAATCCCGCCTCTGCGGCGACTTCCGTATGTGGGCCGACCCAAAGCTGGCGTAACAGAGACGTTTGATGAGCTGGGACAAAAGAGTATTAAATTTAAAGATATCCGCCCATGCGGCCGACGCGTGTCAGACGTTATAAATTCACGGCCGATGTGTCGTCCTCAGGCCGACGTCGGCCAGATGTATGTGTGCTAACTGGGAACCCTTCGTATTACCGTTATCCTCTTTGCGAAGCCTCTCTTTTACAGTAATATTTCATGGCTAGCTAATCTTTGATTTAGCATTACCATAAGTACAAGATGTAGCCCTCCCATAGAGTGCCCCAGGAACGAGTCCTAAAACCATGAGTTAGCATATTACCACTGTTTCCTCGTCTCATAGTTTTGCGTTTTTGGTTAGATGCCTGAAATAAGGTCTGTGGTTAACACAAGCTAATGCGACCTTAACGATTCTTTCTCGGACATAAAATGCGTCAGTAATTACTCCACCATTTGTGTCATTAAAAGTTGCTGCGTGGCTTAATGAGACTACAGAACATCATCACGCCGTGCCGTGCCAAACACAGCTTCACAGTCTTATCATGGTGGTGGCATTTCGTCATGCAACTGCAGTAAAGTTCAGTAGCCTAACGTTAGCTTTTTACCTCTGGCGATTGCATTTAGGCTTCAATAATCCTAAAAGTGGTATTCATTTCTTAAGATTATCTTGCTGAGCAAAACATGTAAGTATCATAAATATTTGATTGCCTCAGAGCTTATTTTTGGCAGTTATCCAGTGGAAAAATCCCATAGGCTTTTTGACGAGGAAACCATTGCGATGCTAACTTCCGTGTTGGCCTACAGAGAAACATCATCCCTGGAGCACTCTATTACCCTTACCCTAAACTTAACCACCTCTTTTTTGACCTAATACCTCATAGCTAAATTTAGCTAATTGCCAGCTTGTTATTAGACAAAGTAACGAGATGTAGCCTTCCTGTTGCTGTTAACCACCTCTCTTTAACGTGATTTTTCATAGCTAACTAA